GATAGGACGAGATTCTCATTTGGCGCGCTGGGCCGCGCTGCGCTTGATTAAGAAAGAGAGGGCCGAGGGTCAGGGACAGGCAGGATGCAAAGACGGAGACGGGGATGGGGTGAGAGAGTGAGAGCGAGTGGAGCTGGCTCCAACCAAATCCAGTGGCTGCGCGGCGCACTGTCTTCTCCGTGCCGTTTCGTTTCGGCTCGGAACGAGGCTCACTGTCTCTCTCTATCTCTCTGCCTCTCTCTGCCGGTCGCTGCGACTGAGCGCGGCCAGAGACAAATTCAGTTATGCCGGCTCGGAAATAGGCAAGGAGAGGAACCGGGGGAGGGGAGGGGGGAGACAGGGGCGCTCGATGGCAAGCTTTGTAGGAAGATTTGTAGCTCTCGCATACATTAGCATTTTGCCTTCTCGATTGCCCGCCCCACCCCAAGGTCGCAGGTTCGAGCCTCGGTTACATATGTATTCGTTTTGTTTTTAATTTCGCCTCTGTCGTTCGCTAGAGTGGAAAGATGTTTTACACACTGTTGAACCTACCGTAACAACATTGGTCCCTGAATATTATATGCGCTCGGCGACGCGATGATCACACACATTTTGATGGCTTGAAAAAGGGGACCCGATAGTGGGAGCGGCCAAAGTGTCTAACTTTTGTTGAGCGCGGGGCGCGGATTGTAAACTTGGAGTACTTCGCAGCTTCGCATTACCATGGGTGCTCGTAGTTGACCGCCTGGCCTAGGGGTCGCAGCCCCCGTCTTAATAGTCCTGGCCGTGTCGGGGGCGTCGCCCTGGCCGCCCCGGCCGCCCCGCCGCTGCCGGCACCAGCAAGGGCACCAGCAACGCCATCAACGGGCCACCCTTTGGGCCCTATAGGGCCGGGCCGGCCGGCCGACCTAAAAATGACCGAGGGAGAGTGCGAGGGGAGAGGGAGTTTAGAACTTGCACAAACATTTGCACCATTAACACCGATGCAGGGCGGAGTCCGGCTCCGAGTCAACAAGGGCCCAAGGGCCGAAGGGGCCGAGGACCGAAGGCTGGACAAAGGTCGAACCCTAACGCCCTCGGCCCTGGCTGGCCTGGCTGGTGGGCTAACCCTCGGTCCTACGCAGGGACCCGGGACCCTCCGAGCAGTACATGTAAGCCCCTCGCCACGAACGTCCGAATACCGTCGCTTGCTTGTCCAGCATCCGCGTCTCGGATCTCGAATCTGGGCGCGCGAGTCCAGATGGGTGTGCCAGTGCGCCAGTGCGCCAGTGCCAGACGCTCCACTCCACTCGGAACGAAACGCTTTGCTCTGCCCACTCCGCCTGCTCCTCTTTTGGTCCTCTTTGTTGGAAGGAACAAGATTCTTTCTTCGTCCGGGCCGAGCGCGCTGCTCCGCGGCCGCGCGGCCCCGCGCACAAGAAGAATGCCCTCATAATCGCATAATCGCAAGTTGTTAACGAGCCGGGCGGTGTCGCGTGGCGGGCTGCATTCATTAGGGCACGCGAACAGACCGCGCACCGCGCCGTGCAAATACGCGAGGGGGCCAGCGAGCAGACAGACAGACAGACAGACAGACAGACAGACAGACAGACAAGCGAGCGGGGTGTCGCGTTGAAGACAGCGCACCGCACAGTTTCATTCCGAAGGGGGACGGGAAGGGGGGGAGGGAGGGTGCCCGCGCAAACAAATGGCCCCCACATAAAACCGGGCCGAATAAAAACGGACAGGGAAACAAAGGGAATAGTTCACACATCAGCACAACAAACGGATTCCGGATATGACCCCGGTGGTGTCGCCATGCTGTGGCCGCGGCGGCCGTGGCCCCGCCATCGCTCAGCCCCCCACGGGGGCCCCACCCCTGCCCGAGCCCCCGCCCGGATTCGGGGGGCGCCGGAACGACGACGCCCCCTCCCCCTTCGGCCGGCCTTAATTCCTTGTTCTTTTTTGTACCGGAAATAAACGCCGCTCCTACTCGCCGCCCTTTGAAACAGGCCGGTCTGGCCTTGCCGGCTTTGCCGAGCCGTGCGGAGCGGAGCCGAGCGCCTGCGCGGCAGGCAGTCCCGTTGCACCGCCGTGCCTGCAGGCGGGCTGGGCGGCCTACCCGGCAGGCGCTCCGGGAGCTGGTTCGGCTACACTACAAGTCAGCCGCTCTGCTCGCGCGACCCCACCAATGGATTCCTCTGTTGAGGTTCCTCTGTCCGGTTCCGGAGAGGAATCCAAGACCGGTGGAGGCGGTCAAGATCCCAGACGCGTTTTGAGCTCCAGATTAGCTAGACAGGACTCGAAGCGAGCGTGTGACCCCACCAATGGATTCCTCTGTTGAGGTTCCTCTGTCCGGTTCCGGAGAGGAATCCATTGGTGGGGTCACACGCTCGCTTCGAGTCCTGTCTAGCTAATCTGGAGCTCAAAACGCGTCTGGGATCTTGACCGCCTCCACCGGTCTTCTGGCCCACTGTGCGCCGCGACGGGCGTCGCTGGCCGAATGTCGTATGCCGTATGGCCTAGCTCTTATAGCTTCTTCTGTTTTGCCGGGCTTGGCTGGGCTTGGCCGCACACCATAATCTCGGGCCCTTTTTGCCTCCGTTCCATCTGCGCATCGCGGCTTGTTCTGGCGTCCGGCCAGGAAGGCGGCGGGGCGGGGCGGGGCGGGGCTAACGCGCACATGCCGCGCACGCCATGTCGCCATAAAAGCAATTCACTGTTGCCCCATCTCGCACTGCGAGTACATGGCGAGTACGTGCCCGAGGTGCGCGACGCCGTCCTGCCGCCGTACGCACGGCGGCCTGTACGGGCACTAATCGGCCTCTTCCGCCGCGCACGCACTCACGCACACACAGACGTGCACACACACACACACACACACACACACACACACACACACAGACAGACAGACAGACAGACAAACGCGCCCTTCATGTCAGAGACAGGGACGACAAGGACAACAGCAGAGAGTCGGCGATGGGGTGCGGGGGATCAGCGAGTGCAATGCATACGAAGCTCCGCGGGTGGAGGCGGGGCGGGGCAGGGCGGGGCGGGGTCTAGGGTCTAGGCTTCGATTTAGGGATTTGCGAATCAAAGGGAATTCCTGAATTCAAGCCGGATGTGCGCAGGAAGTGGCCGTCGGCGGGGAGGGGAGGGGGAGTCTGGGGAGTCTGCGAAGGGGAGGGACGAAAGCGAAAGGGCTTGTGGGGAGGGAGAGAGATTCGAGTGCGCTTCGCCGTGTTTTTCCCTCCGATGTGCACGCACTCGCTCGCGCTCACGCCCACAAGCTCGGCGCACTACTCGTACCGCCGCTGCAACGGCGACGACACCCAGAGCGGGGACCAGGACGAGGCAGCCGCGAGCAGCAGTCCTTCCTCCCGCGACCTCCGATGATGTGGTAATCTCGCCGTCAGCTCGCCGGGGCGGGGCGGCGGAGCGGGGCCCGCTCATAAAGACGTGGCCAAAAGTTTCCCGCGGCCGAAGCTCCGAGACCCCGACGCCTCGACGCCTCGACGCGCCCCGAGGATGACGTCGAGGTCTTGGTCTAGGTTCGGGGAGGCAAGGGCGGCGGCGCCACGTTCCACTGACGGCGTCCTGGAAGTTTCGCTTTTGGCGGCCGCCTGCTGCCAGGTGCGGCGGGCGCAGGCCGCCCAAGGACTCATTTCGAGATTCGTTTCTGTGGCTCTGTCTCTCTCGCACTCGTGAGGCGTCCCGTGTAGATGCGAGAGAGACAGAGCCACAGAAACGAATCTCGGAATCAGTCTGCAGGCCGAGGCCGATGAGGGTGCTCGCGTCCCGGTGGAGGCGATGCCCCCCAACAACGCGCCGCCCGCCGGCAGACGGGCCAAACCCTTGTTGACAGGTATAAAGAAAGTTTGTGGAACCGGCTGGTGCCTGTGGCTGGTGCCTGTGGCTGGTGCCTGTGCCTGTTGTCTGAGACTCAGAGACGGCCGCCCAGCGAGCCGAGTCATTCCCCCGACCCGTGAAACGCAGATACGCACCGCCACTGCCAGCCCAGCCCGCCCATCAACAAGTCAATTTTAATCTGTTTTATTTTTCTGTTTTCTGTTTCACGGTCTGGCGGCGATCGGCGGACAGCCTCCGAGCGGCCGGCCCGTCCGCCTGTTGTCCCTCCTTGTCGCTCCGTCTGCGGTGGTATGGTCCGCCACGGTCCCGGCTGCTAGTCGTGTTGCCTACCCGCTGCTCGTCGGGCGCACAAAGCGCGCGCACCGCTACCAACCCGTCGGCAGGCTGACTCCAAACGGTGCTGTCTCTCTCGCACCCCAACGGAAGGCCGCGTGAGTGCGAGAGAGACGGAGCGACGAAAGCAGGGTTCGCAATCAGCCCGCAGGCCGCCAGACTCTGTCGCGTTCTTATCTGCGACAGTGCCGCTACCCCTATCCCACCCCATCAGCGCGTTCCTGACCTCGTTCCCCGTTTTGACTGAGTGCGACAAGGACGCGACACACCCTGCCTCATCCCGCCGTGCCAGATGGAAGCGCCTCGCGAGCCCGGAAGTTTCATCCCGTCACTCCGTCTCTCTCGCTCACCTACGGGGCGCCTTATGAGTGCGAGAGAGACAGAACGACGAGAGCACAGTTCGGAAAGAGCCTGCAGCCTTGGAGGGCGCGGGCAGGTCAATATAGACGCCATCACGCTGGCCATAAAGGCGTCTCATTCGCTCACACTGCGCTACTCTCTCTCTCTCTCTCTCTTTCTCCCTCCGGCCGCGATCCGCCATGCCGTTCGCCGCACGGCGCGCTAACGGCCGAAAGATGATCGGGCCGCGGCGTAAATTATGATAAAACTTGAATAGTGCCGCGTTCGCTGCGCAAGAGCGAAGCGGCAGTGACCGTTAAGGGCGTGTCGCGAGTCGGGCATGGTCGGGCCATGGTCGGGTCGCGCACCTCCGGGCGCCTTCGCCTTGCTTCGCCTTCGGCCCGGGGCGCCGCGTGCCATGTGCCGAGCCAACCAGGCTTACCGCCACCAGTAGATAAGGAAGATAAAGGGAGAAAAAAAACGCAAGCACCTTGCATTGGTGGAGGGTAATGTGTTTTATTCACTTTCTAGGCTTAACTGGTCCCCATGCATTTACAGGTCTTAAACAGGATTAGACGTGTCAAAACGAAAAGACAAGGAAATGATAGGGGCGAGTGAAAGAGCATTCCGCACACCTTTGTAACATAATAAAACGCGAAAACAAAATTATAACATTTGCTTTCAAAGCTATCACAACAATGGATCCCTTTCTCCATTAGTAAACAGAGTAGCATTTACAACAAATTTACAAATAAAATAATTAACAAAGATGTCCAGTCCTAACAACAAAAATCACCCGCATGTAAAGAATCGCATTTGGTAGTAAAACCAGAGGCATTAAATGAATACATTACAACGAACACTTGTAGCACAATTTCACCAGAATACAAGCAAGTAACAATAAGCTTAAAAAAAAAATCTAGAAAAGATTACAAATATAAAAATTGAACTAGTAGTTTACTTGGTTTACAAAAAAAAAACATAGCATTTCATTAACATAAAATAATTAGAAAATGAAGGTCTCTTTTACATTATACAAATAATGCCAATCACCTTAGCAGGATATTCAATATCACAAACAGAAACCAATGAAACAGATAGGGCTCCACTGAAGCACCTCTCATAGTGACAATTCAAGAATGAAACAAACAGCAGATTGATCAAAATTGCTCTAGCCAGTTTCTTGCTACTTCTGATTGAGCACAAGAATTTGATTTTTGATCATTTGTAAGTAGACCTACAAACACTAACCAATCAAGAATGTATGTGTCAACTGAAAAATCCCACCCAATACACATCACATTATTCATTTCATTGTATTCAATGGCACAATCCAAATCCTCAAAAATGAGTTTATAAATGAAGCCGCCACACAAGTTTTAAATAAATGTTAAAAAAGTAGGAAGTTTCCCAACATGCATAAAAATTGTCAAACTTTTCATTGAACAGACACCAATTTCAATACAAAAAGAACTAAAAATCAAAATTATTATCCAAATGCTTAAGATCTTGCAGTCACTGGGGCTTTCAATTTGAATTCATGCAAGATAAAACACAATTCATACTTCAGCTTGGCAAACTGCTGCTTTGCATCACTCAAAAGGTTCACAAAACTCTGAAATATGTACATTAAAGCAACACTGAGTAAAGTTTCAGGTACAACTATTGGAACTTGAGCCCTGTCGTTGATGTTTGCAGTATAAACTAGGAACATGATTGAGGCCAGCACAAATCTGTACTAGCCAAACTACTACAAGTCGAATCAACAATCAATACAGTTCCTTGTAGTGTTCGTAAAAGCACAGTTGGTTTCTTTTCAACATTTTTACAGCATCTGCATCCTCATTCACTAGTCATGGTAGTACTATGACCCAAATTCTTCTGTGTCAGCATCAATTTCTTTGAATTCAAAGGAGCCGCGACCATCCATTTGCAAATAATACTGTAAATATCACAATTCATGATAATATATCACAATTCATGATAATAAAGGTCAAAATGTTATATTGAACTGAAGTAAGTTAAAAACACAAACCTCATGATGCTTCCATAAAGATCTACGATGGCTGACAGTGAAAAGTGTGATTCCTACTTCACGGCAGTAGTCATACATGGATCCTTCCACATCAACACTCACAGCACTGGTACATTCGTCCAGAATAGCAAACTGGGGAGCATGGTAGAAGAGTCGAGCCATCTGGAACAAAAGAATTGTCTCACCAAATTTTCAACAAAATATTATTTTGGCTGAGGATATTAATGAAGAAAACAAGGCTTCTTACAGCAATTCTTTGCTTCTCTCCACCAGAGAGGACATCAATCCAATCAGCAACAGCATCCCAACCATTTTCACGAGTTAAAACATATGAAAGTTGAACTCTTTCTAAGTGTCGGGTTAAATCAGCATCAGTCTTTCCTCTGAAAATGCAATACATAGACCATATTTAGAGTAGTGAAAATCTTAGAGTATAATCAGATCTGCTTGATTTTAAATATTTCATTTTTGAAATGTGACACAAGACAGAGATATTCTTCTAGTTCTTATGATTAGTTGTTAAGATGAGAATTAAATTTATTTATTACCTGCGCTGCATTTCTTCACGAGTGTGAGGGTAAATGACTTGGTCCCTTAAGGTGCCAAGTGTCATGTAAGGCCTCTGCGGGATGTAGAAGAGTTTGCCTCGTGGAGGCTTGGTCAGAGTGCCACCAAACAGTGGCCACAGCTAAAAGTGTGTTTAAATGAAAGAAATTAAAACAGGCTTAGTCAGAGTGCCACCAAACAGTGGCCACAGCTAAAAGTGTGTTTAAATGAAAGAAATTAAAACATAAAATGCACTACATACTGATAATAAGCACACAAGAAAATCCAAACTCACCTCTCCAAGAATGCGGAAGAGAGATGATTTGCCACATCCATTAGGTCCACACACCAAAACATTCATGCCTGACTTAACTTCAAAAGTCAGCTCTTTCACGAGAACGTCACCATTAGGTGTAACCAAAGGCACTTTATTGAAGCGAATGATATTGTCTTGGAAAATCATACGCCCAGATCCTGGGATGAGGTTGGTGACAGGCCCATTTTCAAGAGGTGCTTTCTCACCATTCTCTTTCCCAACCATGGTGCGCTGATAATGGCCCTCATTCACATCCTTAAGAACTGACATTAGTTCAGTGACTCTTGCGGTAAAGCCAGCACAACGTGTCATTTCACGGCCAGCCAGCACCAAACGGCCAATAGCTTCAGCCAGTTTTACGAGCATCCTTCCGTAGGTGTAGTAGTACTGTAACAATCATCATACATAATAATGAAAGAGCTTACTTTGTAAATGCCTGAAATGACAAACTTTATTAATGTTGGTACAGAAGACTTACCCTAAATCTCTCATCTTGCGTGATATTGGACAGATATACATGCTCTGTATTCATGAAAGGGATACTAAATGTTATGAATCCAACAACGGTTGCAAAGTCTGTAGGGAAAAACAAACACATTAGCAGAGACCTGAAACATGACATATCACTCATACATGAATCTTCTGATTTCCTTACATTTTGCAACAATGTTGTCCACAACACCAACAACAGTTCGGAATTCAAGGAATTTGCGGAGATGATCGGTCTGAAGAAAAGATACACATGGCATGGACCCGTTCAAACAATTATGATACAAAAATTAAGGGAGCTCATTAAACTTACAAGTCTCTTGAAGGAAACCAGCATTGTCAGCTTTTCACGGTTGTTACCGTTGTAGAAAGCTACTTCTTCTGAATTGGTGATCAGGCGAGAATTGATGTACCTGAACTCTCCTTCTAGTTTTTGTTCCTCAGCTGTCATGCGACCCATTGGGCGGCGCAAATAAGTCAAGAACGTTCCAGAAACAACTAAATAAAGCATCATAGTAGCAGGTGTCTGAAATAGAAAAGAATAAATTCAAAGACGTATGAATGATTGATTGTAATGATAATAATAATTACATAATGCAACTGTCTGGTAATTTTGGTTTTAGCCATACCTGGCCTCCTAATACTGTAGTAAGTCTGTACACATATATAAATATATCTAGGAGAGGCTTTGATATATTTGAGTACAAGTCAGTGACAGAGTCACAGAACTTGTCAACATCTTGGGTCAAGAGTTGATCCGCATTAGCAATACGACTGTCCAAATTGTTTATCTTATAATAAGTAAAGCCTCTGAAAAAAAGCAAAAGGGAAAAACCATTGAACAGAACTCCCAAATACTGGCACCAAAAATTCCACAGAAATCACTTACCTTAAATACTGGTCGTATAGATGGTGTGTTAAGCGAGTCCTCATCCTCAATTTCAATTCTCCAAGACTCCACTGCAAGGTAAAGCTATCATTTTAGATCCCATTTGAATGAAAAGCACAAATTTTTCTAACAAGGAATTAACTTACTTTTAGAGTGTTGTTGACAACAGAGATCTGGAAAAGAGGATTTTAAAAAATTAGATTGTATGATGAAATTTGTTTTGATCAATATGAAGTTGTGGAGAAAAAAAAAAACACGATTCTTACCAAGGGCATTCCGGCAAAGAACACCAACAATCTGTTTCTGAATTGGGTCTTATCCATACTGACAATGGCACTAAAATAAAAGAACAAGAAATGAAGAACAGTTCACAACATTCAAAAGCATCGGAACGTAATTTACATGGAAAAACTAACAACTTACGTTTCCACCAAAGTAGCATTTTGGATCATCCAAATATCACAAAAAGAGCGAGCCACAAGTGAGGCAGCAATCAAGACACAAAATGATGATTCTGCAGAGAACCATCCTGGAATTATGATCTTGAGAAGCTTTCTGAGTTGCGCAAAAAACACTGCATCAACTTGAGCTTTGGATTTAGCCTTTTTCTGTAACAGAATGGAAAACCTTGTGAACAAATACTGGCAGAGGAGGCGTGTAATTGAGGATGGGTGCACTTAATTTACATGTGACAGTCTGGGTCTTTGACTTTATCTAATGGAAGCAAATTAAATCCTATGAATAACAAGAGTGGGAGTAGCCTCCTTAATGGAGGCAGAACAACCATAAATTTTGAGATACATGCACACACTTTGGAAAAGGGTGAAATTTTGTAAAAACATTCTTACCTCTCCTATTAAATATTGAATTTCATTTGGATTCAGCTTCCTGCAACATACAAAAAAGGAGAGCTTGAAGAAAGAAACAGATATACATAATGACAACAATGTACCAAAGAGTAACATAGGGAAACATGAATTTCAAAAAACTACAATACCACAGAAAGTTCCTTACAAGATAAGATAAATAACCTTTCACTTTGTCAGTGTTCTATAATTTTATTTTTATGAGGCAACAGAGTGTAAATTAAAAATGTTCAACATGGTGTTTTCAAATAATTAAGTCTTGATTTGAATGAAAGTAAAATCATGAATGACAGTGAAAATTGTTTGGAAAGATGACAGAACAGAGAGGGCAGGTTATGTCATCTGGGCATGTACTAGGCCACCTTCCCGTGGTTCGGCAGGGTCCGATTAGGCTCGCCTCGCTATCCATCCTCCTCTAGGGGAGCTAGGCGCAATAGAACCTACTTGTTTTTCGAGCTTTTGGTGAGCTGCCGAAGCAGCCACAACATGACAGCCGTTGAAGAGACTGCCACCACAGTTCTTGACGTGCCCAGCTTGCTGAGATTCGGAGCCATGGCTGCGGCAAGTGATGTCCTGGTGCGCTGCGGTGCCGCTTCTTCTCCAGGAAGTCAACACTCGAAAACACTGCACTCACTAAGCCGCCAACCTGTCACCACAGAGTTGACGGTGATCTTCTGCTTCTGCTGGAGAACAGGTTATGTGTCCCAGCACTTCAGCACACACAGTCGCACACACACAGACACAACACGACCGCACGCACGCGCAGACCCGCGCGCGCAGGTGGGAGGGGAGGGGGGAGGGAAGTGACAACTAGTCTCGCGTGACCCGCTCACCGCTCGCTCGGCTGGTGCGGGCTGGTGGCTGGTGTCCGTACAAGCAACCGCCAGTTACCCGCGAGGAGGACGGAGACGGACTGACTGACGGACGCGGTACGCGAACGCGAACGCGGACGGCGCGGCACACGGCGCGGGCACGAGGAGGCCGGGCCGGCGTCGACCAAAAGCCAAAAGGCAACAGCCGAGCCGCACCGCGAGCAGTCGCGAGGCTCACCGGGACGAGGCGCCGAACGACTCGAGGCAAAACAAAACAGAAACCGACGAAAAGGAGGAAGGAGGCGAAGCGAAAGGAAAGCAACTAAAACCGCCGGGCCGCGCCGAGCCGCGTGCGGTTTGGCGGCCAGGCGGCCAGGCGGAGCAGGCAGCATAGACTGATTCCAAGAGTCGTTTCCGTCGCGATGTCTCTCTCGCGCCTACGGGGCACTCATGAGTGCGAGAGAGACAGCGACGAAAACGACTCGGAATCTGTCTAAGCAGGCGCAAGCCGAGAGGCGCTAAGCAGAAGACGAAAAGGCGAAGCGAACGCGCCACACAATCGCAGCCACCATCCCGCTCTTACGTCACGCCTTCCGCATATTGCACTGTTCCTTGGTTCTGGCGGCAGGCCCTGTCTCTCTCGCACCCCTGCGGGACGCCCCTCGAGTGCGAGAGAGACAGGGCGACGGTTCGCGGAACGAACCTGCCTGCAGCAGCCGAACCAGCTGCAGCAGGCGGAGGGAAGGCAAACTGCCGAGGGAATGACTGGCGGATTGGAACGGAACCGTCGGAACGCCGCGCGCGGCGACGCGCCCCGCAGCAGAGACTTATTCCGAGCTCTGCTTTCGTCGCTCCGTCTGTCTCTCTCGCACGCAGGGGGCGTGCCGCACGGGTGCGAGAGAGACGGAGAGACAAGCAGGGCTCGGAATCCGCCAGCTGCTTCGGGGCAAGTTTTGGTCAGTTTGCGGTCAATCGCGGCCGCAGATGGGCGTAAGACGCGTTGTCACGGTGTTCCGAGTAAACACAGTGCGGTGCACTGGAGTGGCACACTGCAAGTAGTGCGGTGACGCGTATCGAACCGCGAGAAACGCGTTTGAGGTTTCGGCAGGGAGGTCACGGAGTCATGGGGTCACGGCCACACTACCGTGCGGCCCAGCGACCGAGGCAGTGGTGCCACTTTGGTTCGAAAAGACTAAGACTGGCAAGCCGTTCAGGTGGAGGGCAACAAGTCGTGCTTTGCACCCTGTAGGTCAGCAACTTTTGTCACATCGCCCCCCTGAACCCATCTCTGGATCCCTGAAACCGTTCAGGATCGGAGCGGAGGGAAGTCCCAGCAAGCCGGTAGCGGCCGGCGCGACGTGGCGGGGAAGCTTTCGTGCCTATGGGGCTCATTTGAATTGGAACGCCAGCATTATGCACCGCGGGGCGGGGCGGGGCGGGGCGGGGCGGGCGGGGCGGGGCGGGGCGGGCGGGGCGGGGCGGGGCGGGGCGGGGCGGGGCGCGCTTCGCACGGCGAAAGGGACACAGGCCGGCCGGTGTAGGGCGTCGACTCAAGGCGCAGGGCTTCTCATCAAGATTCCCCCTTCCCAATTTTAAAAAATATCGTCACCGCGTGGCGGGCACGATTACACTTGTTTCATGGCTGTTTGGTGCTCGGCGTCGAACTCGGATCGGGCCACGACTTCCGCAAGGCAAAAGTAGGCAAATATTCCCAGGCACCTTGGAAAAGGGAATCCATTTTCCAGGGGCCGCCTGGGAATCTCAGGCGCTGCTTCTGCCGTACGCTTGCCCTGCATTTCTAATTTGGCGATTAAACAGCTCGCCTGCTTAGCTTCCGGGTTTCTTTCGATCCTAGTTGTGCGACGGAGCGGCCAGTGGAGTTCCGCACGGCCGCCGGCAAGGCTGTGGAGACTCTGGACTTGCTAGCTGCGGACTGGTTGATGAGTAACACTGTTTGTGACTGCAGGACACCGTGGACACCGCGCCCGCGGGCAGTGCGCCGGCAAACACCGTGGCCGACGAATGTCCAAACACATCCGGCATGGGTCGTCACGTCGAGTGGGCTTGCAAGTGGGTGTCTAGTGCTTCCCTCTTCAACGATACCGATAGCGGAGGCACCGGTCGCTCTATTGCTCTGTGCACTCGGTGTACGGGGAGACGCGGCCCAGACTTTCGCCGGTCACGCCACTCGCGGACTCGGACCGAGAGCAAGGTTAAGATTACGGTGTGGCGGGGCCTAGCGTACCCGGCATCCCGATTCCGAAGACTCGCTTCGTCGCTCGCTCTGTCTCTCTCGCATCCGAGCGGAACCCCCCATGAGTGCGAGAGAGACAGAGCGACGAAAACGACTCCCGGAATCGGCCCGCAGATCCAGATCTAGCGCCACGTGCTCGCGCGGTACGGCCGGTCTTTAGGCTGCCGGCTGCCGCGGCCCGAAGGAAATATCAATGACTGGGCAGAACCGAGGCAGCAAAATACGCGGGGCGGAGGGGGAGGGGGAGAGACTCCTGGTTCGGGTGAACCTTTGGACTGTCGCGGCGCCGCCCGCGCGCTGGCAGAAGAGCGGAGGGGAGGGGGAGCTGCACTGCACAAAACAAGAAAAGGCTAAAATGAAGCAAATTGCGTGGAGTCAAGGAGTCGTGAGTCATGCGACGTGCGGTCGCCGAGTGCGGCTGCATTTCGAGGAGCCGACGGCGGTGGTGTAAGTACATTAGTACCAGTGATCGGCGACGATCGGCCGGGCCAGAAAGAGAATACACAAAACAAAAACGGCTCGCAAAACGGCCGGCGGCGAAAAAAAGAGTTCTCGCGCCGAAACCGCTTTGTACACGTTGTCGCTCTCGAAAGGCGGCCGCACCGCAGTCTCGGATCTTCACACAGTTTCCCTGAATAAATGGGTGCGTTATTCAGGTGCGAAACGCAGAGACGCGACAATGTGCGAAATCCACTCTTACGTACGCTGTAACGCCGCAACGCCGCAGCATACGTGGCGAGAGCGTTTAGCAGGGAAGCCTTCAGCCCCGCTCGGTGGAAAACGCAGAGGTCGCGTTCAGCGGCCCGGCCCCCTCTTGTCGAGACGGAAAGAAGAATGAAATCGCGGCGAAAATTGGTCGCGTGTAATCGCCGGGGAGCCAATCGTGTCATCGTGTCGCAGACTGGGAGGTCCGGCACTTTTGCCTACGTTCGAGGAGGTGGGGTTGGCAGTCTGCCTGCCCGGTTCGCCCTACAGTGCCGCAGGCCGACCTGCGCGGTTCACCGCGGTTCGCTGTGAATCGAACTAACAGTGGGGCCGACCGGTCGTCTGGCCGCCATTCAAATGAGGGTCACCGATATTCTATTTGGCCCATCCACGCTTTTCGGGCTTCCTCCCTTGCTTCTTTCCCCCGAACAGGAGTAGCAAGCGTGGCAACGGCGGGCCCGCGGGCCTCCTAGGCTATTGGCTGGAAGAAACTGGTAATTTGGGCGAGTTGCGGTGACGTCACACTGGCACGCGCGAACTCCACGCGATTTGGCGCGGCAGGGACGCGTCGCGTCACCTGGCCGTCTCCGCGTCACCGTGTTGTCACTGTGTTGTCACCGTGTTGTCACGCCGCTGGAGACTCTGTACTCATTTGCCGACCACTTAGCGCGCCTGCCGTCGTGGACCAGAGGCTTTCGGGTGTCGCCCTCTCTCGCACTCCAGGGGGCTCCCTCATGGGTGCGAGAGAGGCAGGGCGACGAAGACGACTCTCGGAATCCGTCCGCAGAACAGGACGCGCTCCGCCGTTGCACCGGGCGCAGCGTGACGCAGCGTGCTGGGCCGCTGGAGCTGCACGGCGCCGCGGCGCCGCGTGGACGGGCAAAAGGCGCCCCCCTCCCCTCCCTCCGCTCTCCACCTCCCCGCCGACGCCGCTGGAGAAAGCGAAAACGGAGACTGAAGAGTTTGCTGAAGCTCGCGTCGTGCGACATCAGCCGAGCTATTCCGAAGAACGGTCGTGTCGCGTCGCCCCGTCTCTCTCGCACCCCTCCGGGACGCCCCATGACAGAGGCAGAGCGACGCGAAGACGCTTCGGCCCAGTCGGCCCCAGACCACGTAGACTCTGTGTTGCACGCGGTGATGCGGCCTCGCGACAAACGCCGAAAGGCCCGAAAGGCTTGACAAAAGACGCTTTTCGTTCGGAACAACAATTACTCCGCGCCACACTAGAAACAAAAAAAGACCGTTCCTTTCTCGCATGAAACAAATTGCTCTTCTCGGCTCCAACTCGCAATCATTGAATTACGGTGGAGTCGCAGAAGGCAAAAAATAAGCTGTCGCATAAGTGCAGTGCACTGCCAACAAAACTGCAAGCCTCAAAAGAGTATAGAAATGACAAAAATCTCACCTCTGTGAAGACAGCCGTACCTATTGCGAAGAAGCCCCGGGTCGCCCGAAAGGTTCCCCCCGACAAAGCCCCCAGAACTAACCAAGATGTGAAAACACGTCATTGGGAGCGTCACCGGCCTACAGTGCTCCACCAACAGAAAAGTAGTTAAAGAAAATGAAGTTTCGAAGGAAATGAAGGCGAAGAAAGCATTTTTGTCCAGTGTCGAGCCGGGAGCGAGCGCCCGCGGAATCAAGGGTAGGCAGCGCCGCACAACACTCGCGTCAGGCGGGCTGGCCTACCCAGGCAGGCGCAAAGGCGCGCCAAGGGCGTCAGGACACATTTGGAAAAAACATTTGGAAATTCCATCGAGCAATGGCAAAGCATTAGACTGATTCCGTGGTTCCTTTCCTTCGCTCTGTCTCTCGCACTCATGGGGCGTCCCGTATGGGTGCGAGAGCGACAGTCTCGGAAGGCGGCTTGCAGACGGCCCCCGCAATGTTCCGCACCATAATGGACACGGGGGCCGGGTTCTCACGCCTGGCCCCATGTCGCAACGGCTACACTGTTCGCTCACTTTCACAGTAACTACGGAACAAAACTAATTTGACGGGCCGCCGCGGTTCGATTGGGAAAAGCGTAGACTTTTGGCACCTGGGTCGTGCCATTTAGTTTTCACCCGTATTATCCTTGGCGAACGTGGTCAAGCAGCGGAAAGTGTAGTCCCGGGTATTTGAATGGCAGTTCTAATCGCGCACTTTGGCTAGAGGTAGATTGCGGTTCTGGTTCGCCGGAGCTGCCTCGCTCGAAGTCTTGCCGATGATTATACGAGAAACAGCACCATTGTTTACATGTTCGTCATGTTTGCTCGAACGAAGGAGTATCTGTGCTTGCCATCGAAAGCAATAACCTCACCTATTCTACTTTACACAATTCATAATTGCCCTGTGAGCCCTCTTCAACATAGAATTAACCTGTTTTCCTCACAAAGAAGATATGAGAGTTTTTCATACTAGAGCCGCTGCCAGCTTTAAACTCACATTGCAATTGGCGCGGCCGAACTGCCACGTGAATTTCTCATAACCTAGCCTCCGCCTCGGGTGTCCGAGGCACATTGCAGTTGGCGGGATCGATGTGGAAGCACATTGCAGTTCACAGAGAAGGCGTGGCGCGAATGTAGCAGACGATGAAAACAGTAGCAGAACGCACAAGACTCGGCACACGTCGTTTCCATTTATCTTCGGTGTCAGCAGAGCACAAAATCGAGTGGGGCAAGAATGATGATTAGAAAGAAAAAGCCGAGCTCGCGAGCTGAGTGGATACTCTAAGAAAAGACTTGCAGGTTTCAAGTTGACAACACTTTTTATTCGGGGCGTTCATAAAGCAAGGCTGGCACTCGTAATCCCCCCGCCCCTCTCTTCATGGTGCAAACAAGAAGGGGGAAGCTCCACTGATCCACTGAAGCTCTGCAGGCACTCGCGACCCCTCTAAGCACACCTAACACACCGGCGGCAACGAATCCGAACCACCCCCTGTCCGCGTGCGGCCCACCGGGGCCCCTCCGACTGTACCTACACCCTAGAGAAAGACCTACACTGACTGATACCCGGCAGGCCGGCCAGTAGCGGTGCAGGTGCGGCCGCGTTGGACAAACTGCATACTGATTCCGAGAGTCCTTTTCGTCGCACTATCCCCCTTGGGCGTCCCGTTTGGGTGCGAGAGAGACAAAGCGGCGAAAACGCTGCTGGACAGACAAGCACTCATTAGCATGCAGCGCGTTAATCAGCAGTCAATAAAAATAAACGGCACGTACTCGCGCCAAACGTGGCCAAACGCAGCCCCCCCCCCCTTTTCAATGCTACATGTGACTTCCATTCACAGCAGTTCGCGCGGCCGCCAGGCCGCCAGGGGCATTACTCACACCAGTCAAAGCCATTCGCGCGGCGAGACAAAGTGTCCGAAGTGTGCCCTATCCCAGCCTGAGCAGCCTTCAGCTTCCCCGCGACGCCTGGCGACGCCTGGCGACGCCCAATCAAGCCAATAAGCGGCTGGACCTAGCTGGACCTAGCTGCCCGAGGGGGCTGGGCTGGCCGGCTGGGGCTGCCGGGGCGGCTGGCTGTCTGTCGCCGCCTCTGTCTGGGGCACGGGCTGCGCTAGGGCTGCGCTAGGGCTGCGCTAGGGCTGCGCTAGGGCTGCGCTAGGGCTGCGCTAGGGCTGCGCTAGGGCTGCGCTAGGGCTGCGCTAGGGCTGCGCTAGGGCTGCGGGGCGGCTGGTTGCCTCTGTCTCTGTCTGGGGCACGGCCTGCCGGAGCTGCCGGCAGTGTTGGCGAAATGCGGAGCGCAGCGGTGCAGCTCGGCACCCTGTACCACGCGCGCGGGTAATGGCAACAGGCAACAGCAGCGACGTCCGGAGGCGGAACTAGGCGGAACCCGCCGCTCCGTCTCCCTCGCGCCGCTTGCGCCGCTTGCGCCCCATGAGTGCGAGAGAGACGGAGCGATGACAGCGATGTGTGGAATCGGCCAGCTGGTCCTTCGAGCTCTTCGAGACGTTGGCGGAATGTGACCCGTCATGCGGAATCTCCAAGAATCCAGTCGCGCCGCGCGCGGCGTTTCCGGTGTACGCGCCTTGGCCGCCGAGACGATGGCGCCTCCAGGCAGGGCGGCCCTTGGGGCGGCCAGGACGCCGACGACACCCTGTTGGTTCCGTCGCCGACGCGCATCTCGCGCAGCTCGCGCAGCGGGTGCGCTTGCTCCTCGCAATATAGTAATTGAGCCCGCCTTGGCTGCGCCAGGCTGCGCTAGCCTGTGCGGGTTAGAGGGCCTGCGTCACAGCGCAATGCGATAACCTTGTCGAGGGGAAAGCAGAGTCCTCTCCTCATCACGAGACGAGCAGGCCGAAGGCGCGCCGCGCGCCGCGTCCATGGCCGCGCGGCACTTCCCCGACGGCACTTCCCCGACGGGGCCCGGCCCGACGCCCATCCATTTCGAACCGGCGCTTTTCGGCCCTCAAATCCTCAAATTGGCCGTTCGATCGGGTTTATTTCGATTCCCGAACGGGCACAACTGCGCCATCCCCTCTCCGGGTGGGTGGGTCTAGGTGGGTCCACCCCGGCGGCACTTACGCCCCACTGGCACCAAGGTGCCCTCTGTGCCCTCTGACCCCGCAGCCGGGCCGTGGCCGTGGTGGCCGCGGCAAGGGCGCCTGGCCTCTGTGGCGTGTGTACCGGCACTAGTACACTCGCACTGCCGCTCAGAGGCTTCGCCGCGAACTTTCAACTTTCCGCCCCCGCCTGCCTCGACGGGTTTCACCCTTTCGGGCTTTCTGGTTCGCCACCTTGCGCTACAGTTCGCTACGCTCTGCAAGGCTCTGCTTGTGGCCGCGGCAGCCTCTGCACCGCGCTCGGCGTGTTGCTGCGGTGGCAGCGGCAACCAACTTCGGGCTCAGGGCGGCCGCGGCCAGGCAGGGGCAGGGCGAGGGCCCCACGCCCCACCCGGAGCTGCTACTGCTGCAGCCACCGCCGCCGCACGGGCAGTGACCCCCAAGCCTCAATCATCCCTAACCCTTTTTGTGAAACACAACCGAGCTCCATTTTTAAATGACCCGCATTCTAGGCGTAGTGTCTCGCGACCGAGCCACGCTTGTATGACATGCCGGTAGACAGTCATGATCCCCTGCTCCCATTTTGCGCTCGTCGTTGGGAAATAACACTGTATGACTCATCTTTTACCCTTGTGTTGTTGGCGGTACTGCGGCCCTCACTCCATCGAGCAACGAATTGTTACCAAACAAAGTAGCGCCGCTACATATCATTTATCAACCTCAGTTCACCAAGTGCAGTGCCTTTCTCGCCCTCTTTCAAAATTGCCAAGTTTTCCGATCTCCCGTTCGGCTGATTTTTGCCTGGCGGTGGCGGCCATAGCGGCAAGTGGTTGGTTGTAGCCGTGCGCCAAGTTAATAGGGTTGGGAAGATGGCGGCCAACGGTGGTGGTAGTGGAGAATAGTCAGTCTTGAAGTGCTATTTTTGCCAAACTAAAGCAATGTTGGTGTGTTCGTCGTGCATCCGAAACGTGTTGGCTGTGAACATTTCTTGATAGTCGGTGTGCAGAGGACCGGCGGGGACGTGCGGCGCTAGGGCATGGTTGAATGGCTGGGCCCCCGCGCCCGACACCCGGAGCCGCTGGCCTAGGCCTTGGGCTGCCTTGGGCCGACAGGCGCAGAGGCACAGGCTTTGAGTCCCTTTCTCGTCAAAGAGCGCTGCGCTGGGCTGGTGCTGACACCCTGTGTGTGATACAGTATGCAGAAACGTGAAGGAAGAGACAGAGAGAAGGAAAGCAACCGCGAAGAAGCAAACAAACGAGTATCCAGGTCAAGCGCAGGCGGAGGAGGAGGCGGTCGCACTGGCATGCATACTAGTCGGCACAGCATGTCCTCCAGCTCGGGGGTTCTCATGGTGGGGCCCAACTTCCGAGTTGGAAAGAAGATAGGATGCGGCAACTTCGGGGAGCTAAGACTGGGTAAGTTTTGCCGGTGGCCCCCCACAGTTGGAGTGAGTCCGGCCCCCCCAAGGGTCCCCAGGGTCCCCTCCCCCGTCACCTTGCTTAGGTTAGGCTGGACCTCTTGACAGGTGCCTGGACAGAAAGTCTTGTTTTGCGGTGTCCAGTGCCTCTTGGCCAGTGCCCCATTTCCTTGTAGGGCCCGTGACACTGCTATGGTTATTTCCCCCCGTTCATGATTTAGTGTTTGTGTCCTCAGGAGTTCTGGGTTAGTTTACTTGGATAAAGGAATGACAGGCTGTGCTGCCTCTGCTAATTTGCCCTTATTTTCATGGTTTTTTTTCGCTCTTCTGATTCTTAACTACTTTCTAATTGCCTCTTTTAGTTGTACCGACAATTTTTAATTACGGAACATTTGCCATTTCTGCGGATGGATCATTCAATGAGTTCATGCGCACACTTGGTCATTGCCCTGGCTCAGTCCACCCTATTGGCTCAATCTGCATTTTGCTCCTGACAACAGGCTGCTACATTGTGCTCTTTTGTCCACCATAGTTAAATTATGTTGGAAGTCTTTAAATTTTCTTTTATTGCTTGACTGTTTTTGCCTGTCTGAGCTTTTCCTTCAGAAACCCTACCCCTTTCGGTGTATCATACTTGTAATTGATGGTTTTAATTATATTAATTTCCTTTTTTTTTTTCTCTCAGGAAAAAATCTGTACAACAACGAACATGTAGCCATAAAGATGGTAAGGATCCAATCGCTGTGTTGTCCATTCTTCTTCCTCTCTCTGAACACATTTGAAAGCGACGTTTACCATGATTTTTCTTTCTTTTCTTTTCAGGAACCAATGAAGTCAAAGGCACCACAACTACATCTGGAGTATAGGTTTTACAAACTGCTAGGATCTCATGGTAAGTTGCTAATAATTTTGAATCAAGGTTTTTTTTCCTTTTTTTTTTTTTTTTTTTTTTTTTTTTTTTTTTTTTTTTGTAAATTGAACCTTACAGAAGGTACAAAATAACACAGTTTAGACTATAGTTTCACAAACTTCATGTACTTGTCAACCCTATCCATACCCTAACCACATTGCATAGAATGATTAAGATACAGTAGGGAATCCTAAGCCTCAATTTTCACTCCTTGGGTTTACAATGTATATTTCTATGCAACTAGATTTTGCACTTGGTTGAATCTAACACAATTAATTTGCTGGCTCACTTGTAAATAACTACCAGACTTCTATATGCTAATGGATTTTTGTTTTAGAACCAGTTAACAGCTGTTGAATTACCTACCTGTAGAAGTTGTGGTTTTACTCCCAATAAATAACAGCTGGCTTCCCAAATATGTCTGTTGCACTCATTTTCATGAAGTATTTTATTTTAGTAGTGGCACAATTAATGTAATGTCCTAGTGTTGAGATTCCTTAATTCAAATCTTACTCTGAGGCAAATTTGGAAATTGCAAATGGGTGAAATAAAAAGACAAAACAGAACAGTGACAGGGGTGCATGCATGTACTGCAAGCAGGTGGATTGTCTTCACGAGTGGAAGGGGCTGTTCAAGAAGCTAAGAAAAGAGACATGGATGACATGCATCAAGATGGCGAGACACGGGTGCCGGGTATGTGGATCGCTTGTTTCGCTGCTGTACAACACACACGCTGTTGCATATACTGTTAAATTACATCTCTTCACAACAGGCCGTTTGAATATATTTTAATTAGGCTCATTTATTGAATCCTTTACTCTGTTCTCATATAAAATGGAAGGAAAGGACTAATCAGGCAGCATGTACTATATTCTTGTGGTGTTTCTTATCAAACAAACTAATTAGCGTGAAGGAAAATTTTTAGATTTTATTGATTGGCTTTTGAAATAGACTTTTGCAACAATGCTTTTCTGAAGTAATTTATAGATCATTTGGAAATGTGGGTTTTGCAAAGATTCAATGGAAACCATGATTTGTGTTGGTATTTCAACCCTATTCACCGCCTGTAGTGCCATTTTCTAATGTGTATTGAGCCAGGAAATGGTAATCTTGTAGTATGTGCATCACAAGATCCATTTGACATCTGGTGCCAAATTCAAGCTCTACTGTGTGTTACTCTGTTATATCAGGTGTCAGACATAAAACGATCATATTCAGTTGGCAAACAAAGCATTGAAATGCACTTCTGTTTCTTATTTCCTAGAAAAAGCTCAATAGATTTGAAAGTAATGGGTACTATATTTGCATGTCCTGCTTTTGTTCCAAATCAACATATTCTTTTCATATCCTGAGATAAACCGCAGGTTTGATGCCATGAAATCTTAAAGAATATTAGTCATGTATATTTTGCTCATCATCATTTCTATTGAAATATTTTGTTGGCAAATTTTGCATGAAGGGCCTTTAGATGATGTTTTATTACTTCAGTGTAATAGCTGATTGGATGATATTGGAAAAATGCAGTTTCAATTTTTAAGCACAGCTAAGACTTATCTTTGTTTTGCCTTTCATGTGGATGGTTGGACCACTGAATATGTAGCCCATGCTTTCTTTAAATGTACTATTTGGATCGTGTTTGGTTAGGAATGAAAACTGCTGCTTGCCAGTTGAAAGAAACTGAAACAGTCTTTGTTTTGTTTTCATGTTCTCATACATGAGGAACTCTTCCCTTGCCTAATACTGAACAAACTATTGTTTACTTATACTTACATCTATCTTTACCATCAATTTCTTTGAAGATGGTATATTTGTGTTACTGCCCTCTGAAGGTTCGATGGGCATACTGTCCTGAACTGCCCTGATGCTTTTCTGTAGTTGCATGGAATGCACATCAAAGCACTGTTTGCCAGTTTTCGCTGGCACAGGATTCCTTACATTGTGTTCCATGCACCTGCCCTTAGTTGAGTGTCAACCTTTTTCTAACATTCCTGTTTTTGTCAGCAGAGGGTATCCCAGAAGTGTACTACTTTGGTCCCTGTGGCAAATACAATGCCCTTGTCATGGAGCTATTAGGACCTAGCCTGGAAGACCTATTTGAGGTTTGTGGCAGACGCTTTTCACTGAAGACTGTGCTCATGATAGCCACTCAGCTGGTAAGTTTTTTTTCACCAACCTTAATTGTCCACTTAATAATAATAATAACAATTATGATAATAAAAATTCCTGACTTTATTGAAATTATCTTAATGAATGTTTTATCTTAATTTCAGCTCCATAGAATAGAATATGTGCACACTAGGCATTTAATCTACAGAGATGTGAAGCCAGAGAACTTCCTTATAGGACGAAGTACTAACAAAAAAGATAAAGTAATTCATATAATAGGTATGTCAAGGAATTGGGGTTTATGTTTGTAGGGATTATTCCTCAGACAAATGTTAATTACTTGGGGCATTTGTATTGCAGACTTTGGACTGGCCAAGGAATACATAGACTTAGAAACGAACAAGCACATCCCTTATCGGGAACACAAGAGTCTTACTGGCACTGCTAGATACATGAGCATTAACACTCATCTTGGAAAGGGTATGTTCCCTCAGTGCTTCCAGCCTTATTTTTACAGTTTTAGTGTTGTTACTTGATTAAATATATAACGTTCCCCTCAGAACAAAGTCGGCGTGATGACCTTGAGGCCTTAGGACACATGTTTATGTACTTTCTGCGAGGAAGTCTCCCATGGCAAGGTCTCAAAGCAGACACTCTGAAAGAACGCTATCAGAAAATTGGAGACACCAAGAGGGCCACACCAATAGAATCACTCTGCGAAGGTCATCCTGGTATGTTTGCTTTTTCTTCATGCAAAGCATGAAGTCATGTGATTCTTGTAAGTTATTTAATATAAAATTATCTATAATATTTGATATATCAATAATTGCAGAGGAGATGGCCACATATCTGCGCTATGTTCGACGTCTTGACTTCTTTGAAACACCTGATTATGAATATCTGAGAAAGTTGTTCCAAGAACTGTTTGAAAGAAGAGGATATGTTGATGATGGAGAGTTTGACTGGACAGGAAAGACTATGGTGAGTGCTGATCTAATTTAAATTAACTAGTTGTTTCTTGGTTTGTGTTTTTTAGTGTTCTGGTGAACTGTTGGGGACCGTTCATTAATTTATATGGTACCCTGGGAGGTCACTGCTCTATTAATTTTGCAGTCCATGAGACGGTTGAGATCCTTCACAGCCTCCACAGCAGGGTCGTCTTTAATCTTGGATAATATGTAATGAATGGTAGTGGTTAGTGAACGGTCCCTTGCATGTGGCATGTTGTGCCTCTACCTTGCAGTTTCTTGATTTCTTTGTCTCGGTGTTGGTGTGTGTTGCTTTTACAATTGTTGAAATTTCATTCAAATTCCAAAGTGGTGTTTGTTGCATGTCTTCAACTAGTTCCTTCTTTCCCAGTTTTACTTACCTAACATTTCTGAAACTTCTAAAAGCAATTTGCTGCACTCAAATGCTGAGACAATTTGTGGCCTTCTCTTTGCATGTGAGGGAATGTGATAGCGTATTTGCATGTTGGGCAGACACAACACACAACTGAACCTGCTGCTGAAGCTGACACAACTGCACTTGCACAAATTGTCACCACAGAGCAGGAAGCAACTCCTGCTCCCCTGGCTGATGCAGTGAGGGACCTTGTCACTGACACTGTAAAGGAACCAAACTATCTGAAAGAAACATTTAAAGAGAATGCCCCTGATGTGCTTCAAGAAAGCATTCCTAACAGAAAAGAAATAAACCAAGAGCATCTTAAACAAAGCTCCAGTACCAAGAAAGATGTGGCTCTTGATGATTTCCAGACCTCTCCAGACACAGTTGAAGAATCATATGAACCGATTCCCTTAAGTAAACCAAAAGATGGTCCCAACCATGAAGCCTTAGCTGCTGTACCACCTCTTTCGGCCACTGACGGACGAACTTCGACCCCCCGTCGCCCGCTGCCTGTTTCAGATGGACCTGTCCTAGCCACTAAGTCAAATATTTTATCAAAAAGTCACAAACAGGGCACCACATCTCGAGCACAGGGTTCAGGTCAGGGCCATGGGCAACCTTCAAGTTCTCGGCCAATACCTACTCGGTCCCAAATCCATACACCAACTCAATCAGTTGTGCAACATAAGCCCCATCAGACTGCTCACAGTAACTTAACCTCACGGGCGAAAGAAGATAAAATGCATGTTCCGCACAAGCCATCTCGCCTGTAAATTTCATGTTATCTGCGTTAAATCTAAATTTTCCATTCTCTTTGTAACACTTTTATTGCTGTATTTTTTACTTTGATCTAAACTATTGACACGATTCTGGTCTCTTGTCTTTACCTGTCCCAATCTAATTTTGCTTGGTTATTTCAACCTAAATGTGCTGCGTTATTGTTTCAAGGTGTGGTTACAATTCAATTTATGCGATTCATGGTTTTGAATCTTCAAAACCAATAGCATCAGCAGGATAGTTATAAGCCTTTTAACATTGTGTGGACTTTCCATTGTTTTGTTGCATTGGGTCACCATCATTGTGATGTTGTGGCATATATGTAATATGAATAATACTAATCGAAATTTAACTATGCTCTCTGCTGGTGAGGTTTTAGAGTAACCTATCACTGTAGGTGTTACCCGAGACAAACAAGAATAGTCTCTTACTAGCTGCTTACTTCCTTCATTGTTGTTTGAATCAGCTTTTCTCAATACTATATTTTTGAATAGAATCTTATTGAAAAGGACTGAATTGAGTTGAGGCAGTTCTATTCTAAGAACTTGTCTTTTACCTGAATAGAATTTGTAGTTTTATTCCAAACATAATCTTTATTTTTTTTAAAAGAGCAGTCCATATTGTTTTTGAAATGAACTCCTATTAGATTTTAATGTGCATGCGGCTTATTTGCTATTAGCCTCCTAATTTCCACGCAATGAGACTTATAAGGGATGCCCCACCATCAAACATCGCGAAAAACAAATCTGACAAGGTCTGTATGTGTCTATGAGGATGTTGCCATGCCTTTTCATGTTCAGTACCTGTTAAAAACGTAGGTTTTACATGTTTGTCCCTCCCTTTAGACCATTGATTTGATGTAACTGTTTTGCTACTTTTCTCACACCCTTAAACATTTTGTTGATTTTAACCTCTATCTTTAGGCCTATCATAAAGTTCCTGTGATATTCACTGATAGCATTTAGATAGTTTCAAGGTGGCTTGTTTATCCTTTTTTTAAATTTTTATATGAAGGTTTCAAAGTAGCTTGTTAAGCTAAAATTTTAAGTCTGCTTCAGAAAGAGGTGTGCATGTACCTCTTCCAGCTCATTTATTTTGTAGTTCTTTTGTTTAATTATTGTTTTGTGTAAGTTTGAAATTTTGCAAACTTTTTTCATCACCTAGTTTTTTTTATTCATACGCTTAATTTGATTTTTTAAAAACAATTTTCTTTTCTTATTTCTTACTTGTCTCTTTTCCTAAAGATCACTTACTAATTTTGGTAACTTGAGCACTGAACTGTTCTCTTTAGAAATGGTGTGCCTGTTTTAGAATTGTGTTTGTGCACTTGGCTTAAACCAGTTTAAAACGCTTTTGCTTTTGATACCATGGTTTCTGGCAATGGCGCAGATTCTTATGTTGTTGTTATTGAGATATTAGACTTTATTTATTTAACTGTAATATTCTATAACTGTTACTTCATTTTTTGTGGATTTTTTTTGTTCTGTTCTTGAAATAAAATTGATTTTCTATTCCTGTTCTTCAATGCTTTATCTTTCTGTGGGTCGAGTTTTCCTACTCTGGGATAATATCCTCTTGGTGTGAGACTTTTTGTGGCGGTGTGTTGACAAAGTCAGTTAGTTCCATGAAATTTCTACGTTTATTTGGGTGAATTATGGTATTAGTCCTTGTTACTCTTTTAAGGAAAGAGCTTGGACCGCAAATAATCCTCTGCTTTTTGGGTCTGTAACACTGCTGTGGAAAGTTATTTGCTAGGCTTGCAGCAAGCTCCAGTGCAAGCTGCTGCAGTCTTGGTGCAGTGGGACTGATCAATGCATGGTACAGTCTTACTGTTAAGTATTTAACTCTTAACTTCATATTTCCTACAATTTTAAAAGATGTATTCTTTCAAATACATTTCTGAATGCAAGTCCAACATTGGAACTTTATTTTAGATGTGAGATACTGCTGTTTTATCTTAGAGTTCATCTCATCATGTTGTCACTCATCCATTGTGTGTTTTTTTTGTTATTGAATTAAATAAAATGGAAATGGTTGTAATCCAAGTATTAAGTAATAGATTTGTGACAATGTTTACTGCCTTGACTAATTCATAAATGTGTTTTTTGTGTCAGCAGTCTACACCCGTTGGATCTTTACAAACCGGCCATGAAATAGTCACATCACCAAATAGAGATAGGATTCCTCCAGCTAACAAGGTAAGATGCTTTTTCATGTCAGGAGTTAATGTAAAATAGAATTTTGATCTTGTAACACTTTACAATCATGGAGTTAATTAGAAACTAAGTGCATGGTTATCTTTATGTGCACTGGATATGTACTTGACAAATTTAAATTCTGTCATACTCCCTTTATTTTGTCGATTTGGAATTGTCATCTAAATTTAAGCTGGCCATAACTTGTGTGGCTCCTTCACAGGGAAATGAAAGTGAATTTGAGGACACAGAGGACGACATGCTGCTTGTTGTTGAGGTCAGGAGTATTGTAATGGTGTAGACTTCATTGGGAGACTTCCTGCTATTGAGCCAATCTCCTGTCAAAATGGACTAGTATTTCTCCCATTTAAGTTTCCTTGCTCAAAATCCTGATGACTTTCCCTTTAGTTTCTTCCTGTGCACAGTGGATGCATTCTATTTACTATGATTCATTTACATTTTATTCTGAAATGTATTTTTCTTTTTATTGTTACTAAAGCTCTATCAGTTGCATCTCATCATTGCACTGTTCATTGAGAATGCTCCTTCAGCTGTAAGGGACGGTAGTACTAGTTCATCTCCTGTTGCCTATGACCTTCTAATCTTAATTTGGTGAAAAAACTGAATGCCAGCCTTTGCTACTAATGGGTTCATTCAACAGCAAATCATCCAAAAATATCATGCACTCGTCTTTTTCATACCTTTGTCCTTATTTGCTTTGATGATTGCCTCATATGTTTCGTTAGATTTAATGATATCCCACTTCCTCAAGTACTTTGTAAAAGTCACAAGATCTATTAAAGTAGTACCATATCTCCTACATCTTCTACCTCAAGACACACCTATTCATTTCTTATATCAACTGCTTTTTCTTTCTCTCTCACTTCAGTCTTCTGTTTTACAGGGAGCTGCAAAAGGTGTCCCAGCTTGGCCAGATGTACCAAATAAACAACCTAATAATACTCTGGGTAATCTTACCCCTGCTGATAGACATGGTTCTGTTCAGGTAAGTCTTTTCATAGATCTGTGTATTGAGATGGCAGTGTGTTAGTATGTTAGTGTTGGTTGAGAAACATTTCTCCTTCCTTTGGTTTTCCTATGACATCCGAATTTGTACTATAATGTTTGTTTTTCTGTTTACAGGTTGTGAGCTCGACAAATGGCGAACTTGCAAATGATGATCCTACTGCTGGTCATTCAAATACACCCATCACTGCAGCTGCTGAGGTAGAAATTGTGGATGAAACCAAGTAAGTTTCAGTTTATTCTGAGGGTATTCCTGCCTCTTTTTCAAAAGACACCCCTCCTTTAATAAGGTGTGTTATTTAACATTCTATTTTATTTTTTTCTCTAGGTGTTGCTGCTTCTTCAAACGTAGGAAGAAGAAGTCTGGTCGTCAGAAATGACTATCTGTGGTTGAGTGCAGTCCAGAAAGAGAAGCAGTGACTCTGTTAAGAGCCACAAGCCACTCGAACTCAAGGGACAGTATCCTCAACAATCCCAACCCTGTGCAAAACTAAGTCGAAGGGAAAATGAAAGAGCAATCTTGCGTGGATGTGCAACTGTGCGAATGTTATGTATGTGTGGTTTTAGAAGTTTGAAATACTGTATGCATGTGATTGCTTTTCTATATTTTAACTAATTATGTATTTGCATTTTAATGGCTGTATTTTAAATGAAGTGAATGCAGAAATTCTGGCCCTGGTCCCTGTTTACCTGTGCTTGGAATCATGATCACTTTTATGTAATAAGCATTTTTTTTCTGCCTAGTAAAGCTACTGTCAATGATTTCTTCAATGATCATTGATATTTGTTTTACCTCTTCATTGTATATATTTTAAGATATTTTATGATGTGGCTTTTAGAGATTGCAAGAGAAACCTTTTGAGTTAAATTTGTGCTCTGCAGACTGTAACATTGTCTCTGCAGCATTTGTACTGTGATGGACTCACTGAAGATTTCAGACACTGGAATATTCATAGCTGTAGCTAAAATCATGAAGTGGTTAGTCACTGAGTTAATCAACTTTAAAAAGCTCAGCATCATAATGCTGTGCATTAACATGTGTTTTTATAGATTCTACACTGTTTGTGTTCAGTTGTAAAGAAAACTTGTGAAAATACATACCACTATCGGGTTTTAATTTGGTGCTTCTTTCCTGTAGTTTGCTTCTTTTCACCTCACTTCCATCAACTAATGAAAATATGATACTCCTTTTTTTATTATGATTATTACTATTATTATCATTACCATTAATCAAAGGAAGTGCATCAGGTTATTTTAGATTCTCAAGCTCAGGGAGTCAGAACTGAAAAGGGTTGGTCATCCCTTAAACATAAGTCTTCTTAAATTCTGCAAAGCCTTAGCATCTGTGCACTTAAATTAAATTGAATTCATGTAATGTAATACTGAAGGTTCTGTACATTTCACTCGCTTGTTGAGCAAAATTAAATAGCATGTTTTTAAAGTTTTGTTAGTGATATTTTTGTTAGTCATGGTCATGAGCTGGTACAGGTCTGGTGCAGGAGGCAGCTGATAACATGTGACTCTTATTACCTGTACACACTAGTTAGCATTTGACATGCAGGTGTTTATAGATCCTATTGTTACATCTGTCCACATTTACTGATTGAATGTTATTTTAATTTTAAAAAAAAGTGCTACGACTAAAAGACACTGAAGTTCTGAGAGCAAACAAATTATATACCAGTAGAAACAAATTGCGTACATGAGGCTTTTTTTTAACTCGTTCATGTTTTTTTCTCATATAATTGGCTGTGTGAGTGAGTGTGAGTGCATGTGAGTAAATGAAAAAGAGAAAATGGCAAGTAATTGGTTAGGATTTTAATATTAAAAATCACGTTTTCCGTAGTATGAATTGGGGAAACAGACTACGAGAGGAAGATGATTTTGTACATAAGTTTATAGTACACGATATTGGATTTCTTTTAAAGAAGGGTATGTGAGGTGCTGTTGGGCTCAATCTTCACACAGTTTTTGTTGTATGATAATTTTATTGAAACCTGGGTAAGGAAGCCAAGAGGATGTACATTTTTAATGTGGTTTTTAAAGGCTGAAGTTTTTGTCGTTGTTCTGTTCTTTGTTGATCATCCTAATTTTGTTTTTAACATTTCAGCCACTTCTTCACTTTCTATAATTCTGCTACTGTTTTTTTTTTTAAAAAAAAAGACTGACAAAGTCTATTTAGTTTTATTTGTCGAACTGGATACTTCAAAGTGTGTCACATCATTTTCCACATCAACAGCCCTATGAATACTAACATTAATTCACTCCCTGTGCCAAATTTTTCGTGACAACTTATCTGATGTTTTCGTTCATCCTCTGTTCACTGTGTCGAATGTCATCATTAATTTTCCTTGATGAGTACTTGATATCAATCAAACTACTTCTGCCTCTAGCAATAAAAAGCATCGTGCTTTATTTTGCTGGGCGCAAGCTATATTTTTGGGAAATTAAGGAGAGGAGAGAACAAATTGCCAGGCAGAGATCTCCATTTGCATTCCAAATTTTGACAACATTCTGCTTCAATTTCAAAAATGCATTTGTTGGAAGTTATGAATGAATATGGTTTAGGTATGAAACTATAGAGATGCAGGAAAATATTGGGGTCGTTGAGAGCTTTTAATGTTGTATTATTACAAAGGCACTATGTACTTGAAAATATCCTTTCATCAATGAACTCAAAACTGCTATTGTCTTCAATTACCTATGCTTTAAAAAATTAAAAAAAAAAATCCATACTATTCAAAATGGTCACATCTATTTACTTGCACTCAGAACCAACCTACCTTTGTATGGGAGTGTGCTGACTTGTAAATGTTGCTTTTCATTGCTTCTTGCTTAACTACCAAATTCTTGTGGGTAACTTTCAATTACGCAAGAGATTATTTTACTTGGTACTTCATTTCTTTGTCTGCTAGGAGATAGGCATGTGGAGATTGACTGATTTGATTTAGTGGTTTATGAATGGGTATTATCAATTTCCTATGCTTAAATGATGAGCCTTCATAAGCTTATTTAGGAGCAAAAGAAATTTCTACTAGTGTGTTTGTGCGTGTGTTTAGAGTTAATTTCTTGTTCATGAGTCCAGGAAGACAAACTGTTCAAAGGGTTGACCTTTCAAATGCATTCTTGAACAATTCACCATTCTAGAGCTGCAGTTTGCATTTTTTTGCAGCTCTATATTATTTACATTGGTGAACTTTGAAGACCTAACAGACTTTCTGTGTAACTTTTTTCTTTTTGATATAGTAGCTTTCTTGAACATTGTGGTGGAGGAGATCCTTATCCTTTAAATTATGTCATTTTTTTTTCTCATTTTACATTATTGTGTTCCTCTTTACGTAAGCTAGCAATGGTTAGCTTGAAGCCATCCTTTCTACTTGTGGCGACTGATTCTGATAGTTACGCTTGCTAAGCTGCATATTAATTAATTTAGACTGTGATTGTAATGCATCTCCATGCATGCAAAACCATGGCTTTCCTGGAAACAATTTTAACAGCTTTGTTTCTTGTTTTGTATCTTTGTTATATATTGTGTATTGGTGCACATTAAGTTACTTAATTGTGGTACCTGTAATACCGAGTTTATAGGGTATTGTTGTCTTATCTTGAGCTCTGTCGGGAGGATTGAGAAGCCAACAGCCCATGTCCTCTTGAAAGTTTTCTTGGTTTAAGTGAATGTTGTACATAAATTTTTCTTTTTTTGTTTCCAACCATAACTTATGTTGGTTGTGTAATTACAGAACATTATTGATTGTCTTCTAAACTCATTTTTTGTTGTTGTTGTTTGATCACGAAGTCTTTTCAGCTAAATTTAATTATCTACAAACCTGCATATGTATCTCGCAAAACTGACTCATTTGCCTGCAGTATTTTTTGCTTAAGCTTGTTTGATGAGGGCCCATGAGTACTGACAAGTTTTAAACGCATTTTCATTGTTATTTTTATCTCTGACCTTATCGGCTTTTTTATGTTTGGAAGTCATGAACACATGCTTTTTACTCTAACTTTTGAATTTCTGTCAACAATGTGCACTTGGTTTGTGGTGCTGTGCTACAGTTGCTCATAAAACACAGTCTAAAAATTGGATCTCATTTCACTCAACTGTTATTCATGAGGTATGACTTATCTAACATGCCTTCAAGTCAGCTTTTTATATGTTTTGCATTGCATGCTGTTCTGAAGTATTCATTCAATGATTGATATTTTTATATTTCATTTTGTTTTCATGTTTGTTGTAACACAGTTTGATGACAGAATGGTGCAAATTTTAAGTTTCTTCTGTTCATTCAACGTTTTACGTTAAGTTTTGTGGGTACAGAAGTGTTGATGCAATTAGAATGACGAACTGACTTGCTTACTTTTACACCAACATTTTCTTGTATATTTGTAGCTTGTTTTGGATGGAATGCAGCTGGTGTGAATGGGCACTGCAACATGCTGTGATTTAATGAATGCTTTTATCTTGTCTGCCCATGAAAGACTCATTCCTGTCAGCTAGATTCATAAATAATTTCTGAAACATAGTGTCTGAATACCTTGATGATTTGGATGGAGGTTTGATGTGTGTGAGAATATTGTGTCTGTGCTGACAGTTGTGTGTTGATATTGTAAAATTTATCCTGCTGTACTGAAAATGTCAGACTTAATTCTTTTTGAGGATTGAATATTTGTTTCTATTTTTTAATTATTAAGTCCAAGTTGAAGTCAAATAAACTGTAACAATATTCTTATTATTTCCATTTACTGGCACATCCATATGTCATGTTCATGTTTCTTTTGCTGTGTATAATGACCTCAATTTACTCTTTACATGCCTCCTCAATTGTCCATGCACTAATGTGTCATTTCTGAGGGTTCAGGTTGAAATTCGAGGTCTACTCATGGCTGTGTTGGATTGTCTCACCCCCAGCTCCACCCTCTCCCCAAACTTAGATTCCTGTTGTGGAAGTATACAATGTGAAACAAACGTTTATTAATTAAAAAAATTGAAATCATTGTTCTCAAGTCCTTTGATTCCTTCACAACGATCCACAACCCTGGAGTCAACGAGCGGGTGAGATAGCTGCGAGAAAAATTTTCGTCGGCCGTGCGAAGGGAGTGGCGTAAGGGCGTCGGGGCCTGGGCCTGCCTCGCCTGCCGTCACCGTCAGAGTGGGGCGGTGGTGGAGCGGTGGGCGGGACGTCACCACTTAGCGGTCCTTGGTCCTTGCCTGCGGTCTGCGTAGAGCCCCTGCGGCCCGCCGGAGGCCTGCGCCTCTCTGGCCTGCGCTGCCTGCGCCGCGCACAGGTGGCTCAGGTGCGGGTGTGGCCGCTGCGCGGCGCACCTGAAGGCCTCAAGCCCTCCTAGCCCGACACGATGAGCGGCAAGCCAAGCGGCACACGGCCAATCCCGGGCGGGCCGCGATAAGCTGATAAAAACACGGCCAAGCGCAGCCAAGCGCAACGCGCAGCAAAGCGGACCGCGGCCGCAACGCCAGGGAGAGGCGCACGTCGAGAAATTAATCGGAGAGACAGCCAGCTCGAGACAACGCCCGCATGCCTGGTCACGTCACGAACGTCACGGACGGCACGCACCTCAGACATGTGGCTCTACTTCGAGGAGTGCAGTGTGCTGCCGCCTGAGCAGAACCGGAGGTGAGCGACCAAACGCCCGCTTGTTGGTGTATCGTCGTGGCCTTACTCATGCTTGTTGTATTTTATTCCGGGGCCGGTGTGTGTGTTGTGAGTTTGACGTTGTGTCCAGTTGTGAATCACGCCCACGCAGGGAGGGGGAGGGGGGGGGGAGGGGATGGGATGGGACGGGACGGGTGAGGTTCCATCTCTGAGAGCCACTTAACTTTCTCAAGAACGTTGGCACTAGGACTTCTGCCTCCTGATAATGATTTTCAACAGTCCAAAAGGACGGGCAGAAAAAAATTTCGTTTAATAAATGAATAGGGAAATACAGGGGAAATGGGGCGTGTGTGTAGTGGTGGTTGGGGGAGGGGGAAGGCACTCTTTCTTTTAGCTTTATTAGCGGCTGATCTACTGGCTAGCTAAGATCAGTTCGCCAGTCAATGCAGTCCTTATTATAGAAGAGCTTTAGTGTAGTGATCGTGCCGTGTCTCTGTCTCGTGGTGAAACCGCATTCAGAATCGAGCCAACCGCGAGCCATCGCCGATCCGATCACCGATCCCATTCAAATTACCCGGCTACCACCACCCTAGAGATCAGTACGACAACCTTTTCCTCTGGTTGCACATGTTTGCTCAAAGTAACGTGCTAATTTTATTGCTTTTAATCGGTTTGTGACTTTAAAAGACAAAAAAACACATTTGACGAGAAGGCTGGCGGTGACAGCGAAATGATCCACTGAAAAAAGTGACTTAGTGACTTTCGACTTCAGTAGTACTTGCCATCTTGAATTTTAGGTTGGTCGTCATCTGCAACTGAGCCATGTAGCTAAAACCCCAGTTTGAGGTCTGTTGTTGTTAAACAGCTTATTTAATGTACATGCCCCATCGACTGGTTAACATTCAAAGTTTGCTTGTGCTCACTAATTTTAAAGACACGCAATTTGATTTGATTTTTGGTAATTTGTGTTGGGTGGCACAGTTCTTGTAGGCCTAACGTCCATGAATGATGTGTACATTTAGAATCCCTTTGATTATTTTTCTAGTGAGTTCTATTTGTATGCGTTACTGATCCGATATACTTGCAATTTTCTCATCTATACTTAATCTTTTTTACGTATTTTTATGGTGAAGTTACAAATGTCATACTTGTTTGGAGGTTAAGCTGTGTATCAACCAAAAAGGAATTTGTTGTGTCGTCAGACTATTCAGCAATTTTACGCGAACTTGAATTAAAGTGCCTAGATTCCATATAAAATATGAATTTGATCCAAAGTTGGCTAGAGCTATGTTTTCAAGCCAGCTGTGCCAATACCCACAGTGGATTGAAACAAAGTTATGAAAAGCAAAGTTGAAATTGGTAGTATTTTAAGTGTAAAAATTTTGGAAATTGTGGGATGTTGTTCTCACTCAAATTGTCACTGAAGTTTTGTTCTCACTCAAATTGTCACTGAAGTTTTGTATAACCACCCTCTAAGTAGAATTTTTCTAACGTTCTTAATGTGCCTGAGTGAATGATGAATGTTGTGTCTTTAAGGCTTACTAGTACCCTTCCCTCATTTTTTTTAAAATCATTATTATGTATAGTCCACCTCTATTAATTAATGCCCCACTACTCCAATCAGTGTGATCCTGAAATGCACCCTACAAGAGACGTTTGTCCTTACCGCCACCGCCATGACTGCTGTGCTACATTGTTTTGCTTTTGTGTGTTGTCTCAGCAGGATCACTTGTTACACCCCTCTTCTTGGCTCCAGTCTTAACCATTTTGATTTCCTCTACATCAACTCAGAGAACTGAGGGAAGAAAAATGAATTCTTCAGACCATGGGTAAATGCTCAGCTGTTTATGAAATCTTGTCACTATTTTCATTCCATTCTTTGTCTATTTTTGGACTATGTTTTATCAGTTTCTTCTTTTATAAACATGTTGTATGGTCCTGAGAAGAAATTTTTCTGTAAGCTTTCCATTTTCAGATTTGTCAGTATTCATTGCCTCTTACATCAGATAGGGCAGAAATGCAGTAACATTTTAGAAGTATGCAGTCAACGCACTCAAACACACATTTGTTTATTCCAAACTGTGATGAACTCTGTTTGTCTAAACTGCATACAATTTTTTTAAATTGTAAATGATCGCTTTTCTGACCCATATGGGAAAATGAATGTGAAAGAACCTTCAGCATGCGTTGCTGTGGACAGTGAACTAATCCAAATGCATCCTGTTATGAATAAATTAAACTGCCTAATTTTATATTCACCAACTTCTTAATTTTTTTTCCTTTGTTTTCTTGCTTTATCTGCTCTTTATCATAGGGCAACCAAGTATCCTTATGAATATTATTTTGTTGCAGATTCAATCCAGCCTTCAATATGGCTGCAATCAAGCAAGTGTTTAATGAAGCTGTTGAAAGAGGTATGGGACATCTAAACTGAACTTGAAGTTATTTTCAGTACATGAAGTGCTAATAAGATGCTATGTTCAACAGTTCGGATGCCAACTCCTATGCGGCTACGTGACCTGATACGGCAAATCCGAGCTGCCCGGACTGCTACCGAAGAAAGGGAGGTCATTAATAAGGAATGTGCCTACATTCGTTCCACTTTCCGGGAAGAGGACTCTGCTTGGCGCTGCCGAAATGTTGCCAAGCTTCTATACATTCACATGCTAGGGTAAAGTTCCTCTTTCTTTTCTCAAATTTTAGGTTTATTCCATAAATTGATTGTGTTTTCTCAGTCTTATTGTGTTTATCAAAACTCTGTTCTCTTTTTGTTGTTATATTTAGATATCCTGCACATTTTGGTCAGTTGGAGTGTTTAAAACTAATAGCTTCTCCACGTTTCACTGACAAGAGAATTGGTTACCTTGGTGCTATGCTTTTGTTGGATGAACGTCAAGATGTGCATCTTCTTATCACAAATTGTTTGAAAAAGTAAGATTTTTGATTTTAGTTCCTTAATTTTGCTTGATACTGTACTTTATGTAAATGTGCTAAGTAAATTTCTTTTCCTTTTGCAGTGATTTAAATAGTTCAACCCAGTTTGTTGTTGGTTTGGCGTTGTGTACATTAGGTGCTATTGCATCTCCTGAAATGTCACGAGATTTAGCTGCAGAGGTAGAAAGACTAATGAAATCCCCCAATGCATATATACGAAAGAAAGCTGCTCTATGTGCCTACAGGATAGTTTTAAAAGTACCAGAGCTTATGGAAATCTTTCTTCCTGCAACTCGGTCACTTTTATCTGAAAAGAACCATGGTAAGAATGCCACTTTTGAATCAGGTTAAGAGCAGTATGTTTGAGGAAATTTAAAAAAAAAAAAAAAAAAACAACTTAAATTTTGTTTCCAGGAGTCCTGATTACAGGAGTTACTCTCATCACTGAAATGTGTGAACATAGTCCTGATACCCTTCAACACTTTAAGAAAGTAAGTCTTACTTCCTGACCATAGAGTATGGTAGTAATTTTTCTAAATATGAACACCACTCTTGTCTTCCAGAAAAAAATACTGTGCATGAACTGTAGAAATGTTATCATTGAATGAGTGGTACTTGTTCCCATTTTAGGTAAAGGTTTTGGTTGTGCCCATCTGAATCACTTGTAGAGGAGTGTAATCTTGGTTGTATGTATTTAGTTTGTACCCAATATGTTCAATATGCTGTGGTAATTGATTATTATTTCCAAACCACAAGTTATTAAACTAGAAAAGAAAATACATTATCTCAGATTTAGGAGGCTGCCTGTCCTAAATATATTATCATTTGTCCTGCCTGAGTTAGTGATAGCTATCCAGATCATGAGGGATTCATCCTCTTACTGCCCAATTTTTTCATTACTTTATGTACCGTATAGCAGATTTAAGTCTTTTGAGACATCAGCTAATTGAATTCTCCTTACATAATTGAACCCAATAGAATACCTCTACCTGTTTCAGAATTTTTCTGTAGTGGTGGGAAAAGGAAAGAAGTCTTCTTTTAAGGTAGATTTACTGTAGCCTTAGGCCTTTCAGTGACATGCTACATTTGAAGTAAGATATTACATTATTGAATGATGTTAATGGTTGGTTTTGTTCTTTTTCTGTGGCATAGGACTGCAGTCAAGAGGAGGTAATGCTTTTCAGACTGTAATGCCTTACACCATGCACCATGCACTTAAATAGTAGTTTTAGAATTGTATTTGTGTTTTAGCCACTGATCCTTGCTTGCTTTCTCAAGTTATCAACATCATTGCCACTATCATTTGTATTGTGGATGCATGTCATTAAACTGTCTCCTGGTAGAAGCAGATAGGGTGTAGCATTCCCCACTTACAAATCAGCTTCACCCTTTGATTTTCTTTTGTTTTACTATGTAGCAACCCCTATTTTATCTCATTTTGTAATACTATTTTAAGACTGAAAAATAATTTAGATTTGTCACAATTTTGTTGTTAGTACAGAAAACAGAATTTAGAATTTTCATTGAATTTCAGGTATATAAAGTTTTTCTTTTAATTGCAGATTGTACCAAACTTGGTACGGATTCTCAAGAACTTGATCCTTGCTGGCTATTCTCCTGAGCATGATGTATCAGGGGTCAGTGATCCTTTCCTTCAGGTGTGTTAATTTCTCATTGTAATTAATGAAAACGAGATGAAACTAATTGACACAGGTAGTCTAGATTGTATCAGTATTTTTGTCTGCTTACAGGTGAAAATACTGCGACTTCTTCGTATACTTGGACGAAATGATGCAGAAGCATCTGAAGCCATGAATGACATTTTGGCCCAAGTTGCCACTAATACAGAAACATCTAAGAATGTTGGTAATACTATACTTTATGAAACCGTCCTATCCATAATGGATATCAAATCAGAAAGTGGTCTCAGGGTAAGCGGAAATGTGCACTATCTGTTTGTTTGACATGGCTCTTGTTGATAAATTGATAGTTTTTGTTTACAAGTTATTCAACCTTCTTTCTATTGCTCCTTTCAGGTGTTAGCTGTTAACATTCTGGGACGTTTCCTGCTGAACAATGATAAGAATATCAGATATGTAGCTCTCAATACACTTCTGAAGACTGTCCATTTAGACACTAGTGCTGTCCAAAGGCATCGAACCACTATTCTAGAATGCCTTAAGGTGTGAATCTGTCTTCTTATTTTGTTCTTGTGCCCAAATATTTAGTATATAGACTTATTCCACAGTAATAATGACAATAATAATATTCCATTTTGGCTCAGGACCCAGATGTTTCTATTAGACGACGTGCTTTGGAACTTAGCTTTGCCCTGATAAATTCCAACAATGTTCGAACTATGATGAAGGAATTGCTTCTCTTTTTGGAGCGATCGGACCCTGAATTTAAAGCACAATGCAGTTCAAGTATTGTTCTTTCTGCTGAACGCTATGCACCCAACAAACGTTGGCACCTTGACACTCTCTTGAGAGTTCTTATTGCTGTAAGTACATTGTCAAACTTGTTTTTGGTGCTGTTTTTATTCTTTTCTTTCCTTAGGCAATTATGCTTGAGTAAAACACTTAAATTTTTTGCCCTTATTTCCAGGCTGGCAATTATGTGAGAGACGATGTTGTGTCCTGTACCATTCAATTGGTGTCAGAGTCTGTTGAACAGCAGGGATACGTTGCAGCTCAGCTTTGGCGTGCCCTTGAACAGGACACTTCTGATAGGCAACCGCTGACACAGGTTGCAACATGGTGTATTGGAGAGTATGGAGATAGCCTCCTTTATGGAGATGTTTCTGTTAGTGAAGACCCAAGTGATATTGTGAGGGTAAGATTTACACCAATAAATTGAAATATCTTCTTGTATTGTCTCTGCATTGTTAAGTGTTTTTTCTTTATCTTATCTTTTTGTTTTTAGGTTACTGAAGATGAAATTCTTGATGTTTATCAACGTTTGCTATGGTCCCCTCAGAACACTGTTATTACAAAACAGTATACTTTACTATCCTTAACTAAACTTTCTACTCGTTTTCGGTCTAATGTGGAGTAAGTTTATTGATACCTATTGCCATGAATCAGTAGAGAACAGAAGTGAGAAAAGTCAATATTTTTAGGTTCATGTTGTATTTATTTAACCTTTTATTTCCATCAGACGCATTCGTCAAATGGTCCAACAGTTTGGTAGTCATCTGCACATTGAACTTCAGCAACGAGGTGTTGAATTCACTCAATTATTCAACTCTCACGCTCATTTACGCCCTGCACTTCTTGAGCGCATGCCACCTATGGAAGCAATTCGTCGAGACAATGGTTCACAACAGCAACAAACTCAGAACAATGCTGTGAATGGATTGCTGGATGTGGCTGATGTCAATACTGATGATTCAACTGTCAACAGTGATTCTGTACGTTATTTACAAGGTTCTTTAAAATTTATCTTATCTTGCCTCTTCTAAATTTGATGTAATGCATACTTTATGTTCTTTAACAGAATGCTCTCCTTGTCCTCCTTGGTGGAAATGACCCAAGTGGAATCAGTACAGATAGTGAACAGCCTAATGTTAAGCCTCCAGTATCTGTCCCTGCTTCCACTGACAATCAAGATTTACTTGATCTACTTGGTGGTATGTTTTGATATTGTATAGTGAAGTGTTATATAAATAAAATGCTCTCAGCTTCATTTATCTCTCTTTCTGATATTCTACTGAACCTTTTTTTCTTGTTCTTTAATTTTATGTAACTTAACTTTTTATTTGGTCAACAGGTCTGGACATGGGTGTAACAGCTCCTCCTCCTGTGGCGGTTAACAACATGAATATGAACAACAATGTGCACAGCACCAACAATAACAATACCCTTCTGCTTGATCCTTTGGGCTCATTAGGTTCTCTCAGTTCCTCAACACCAACTCTGTCGTCCCTGCCATCTATGGTTCCAAACTCAGGTCAGATTTAATACTTCATTTGTATTGGCATCAATAAGTAAGCAATAAAGCATTAGCCTAACTTGTTGCTTTCTTGGGCGTTTTTTTTTTTTTTTTTTTTTTAGATTTGAGCAGCTTGGTTGCATATGAAAAGAATGGACTGCGTATCATGTTCACATTGGAAGGTGTGGACATTCCATCGACCATAAGCATAGTAATGTCAGCCTACAATGAGACCTCTCTACCTTTGAGTGACTTCCTCTTCCAAGTGGCTGTTCCTAAGGTACGAAATCTGTAACTGTGTGGTTATTTTTGTGGACCTTTCTCTCTTAGCTAATCCTGCTTATCTTGTAACCTTGCTTCTTATTATTTTTTACAGACATTCCAGCTGCAAATGATGTCTCCTAGTGGTACCACCATTCCACCCTCTGGTTCTGTTACGCAGATACTACGCATCCAAAACCCTAATAAGGTATTGTTACTAGCTCTTTAAGTAGAAAAAAAAGTACATTACACTTCTATCTTTATAATTGACCCCTACCTATCACGTCACAGGGTGCCTTGAGAATGCGAATGCGCATCTCATACAATACCGGTGGAGCTTCAGTTCAAGAACAAGCAGAGATGAATCAGTTTCCTGCTGAAGGGTGGCAGTAAGAAGGTGGAATTTACTTAGGTTACTGGTGAAATAAAAATGCAATTTATTGAACTGCCTCTCATGTAGTTTCCATTTGTGAATCATTCAACACGGTTGGTGTGCTCTTGTGTCTTTTAAGCAGCAGCTCCATTCCAAAGCCTCTTGAGTGTTTTGTGTGAAATTGAGACGAAGAATTCTCTTATTTTATGTTTGGAACATGGCTTCGTCTGTTTCTTTGTTAAGCAATGCTTAATGTTTGGAAGCTAGTTTTTATTTTCTGTTAAGAGGATTATTGGAATTCACAACCAACCTTTTGGACTCCTGTTAATCTCAGCTGGCCTGAGTTCTACAGAGAAAAAAAAAACATCCTCAAAAATAAAAATGGAAACTACTGTATCAGCTTTTTTCTTTGTTAATATGTCCAAGAGCTATGCTGAGAATTTAATTCTGACTTCCTTTATGTTCATTGCTTCTGCACTATTACGTCTTAAGGAGGCAAAGAATCTTCTGTACATAAGTGGTATATTTTACTACAGAGAGGACCATTTAATGTATTATTTTTTATGATGTGAAGTAAAACTTCAAATTTTAAGTACTATGTACGTATGTTTTAATCATGATAATTTTATTGTGTTTGTTGGTTTCTCAAACCCACATGCTTCAAATTGTTTTATCACCTATTGTTTGTATATTAATGGTCCACTATATCTTCAAACTTGTATTAATGAGAATGAAATTATGTGAAGAGAAAGTGTGAGAAAGTTTGTATATAGATACCTAAAGTTTACTGTAGCCATTCATTTACCGCAGACTGTGAATTTAATTAAATTCTGGAAGTATTACTGGAAGGTGCAGCTATGATTACTGACTGGATCATATTGTAAATAGAAATAGGAACTATCATGTCACAGCAGCACTTTCAAAGATCAGACTAATTTTTTTGAATGTAATGTTCGTTTCTGTAAGTAAGTGATGAATTACATTAAAACTCTACGGATGTTCTCCTATATTTTCTTCAGAGCTACCTACTGTCTTTCCCTCGCTATACTGATATCCCAAGGGGATATCTGGGTCTAGAGACCAGTTGGGTCCCTACATTACATGCCAGCCAAACTACGTTTATAAGAATACCTATTTGGTGTTGATGCCAGTCACATATTTAGACTATGATCTACGAGTTATGGAAATTACACACGAACAGTACATTCCTGGAGACATGGATGGAACACCATGAAGAAAGACACGGATACGGATCTTCCTCCCTCGAGCCGCACCGGCCGGCCGGCCACGCCTTTCTGCTCGTTCGGTTCGTTCGGGGCGTTCGGGTGCGTTCGGCTGCGGTTCGTGAGTCACTTCGCTGCGATGATGATATTCCTTGTTGAGATTCTCTAGGCAGCCCACCCAGATTGTGCTTCTGCTCTAAAGCGACTGAAAATGGGTGTTAATTTTGTCTGCTAATTTTTGTTGTCAACACGCTGTGTGATAAAATTTTGGGCCGACTTTTATTCTCTAAGCAGGGACTTCCCGTTTGTGTGCATAGGCGCTTCATTATTTGTTGAAACGTAAGTGACCAAGGACTCCGCAAAGCTGATTCATTCGTGCCGTAAAAAAACCATTAATGATATAGATACAGTGAAGTGGCACTTCCTTGTTGGACCTGTTCACCTTAACTTTTCATTCGCTAGTCTGCGATTTTGTGAACGTGCTGCGTGACATGTTGTTATCGTACGATCCATTGTGCGTACCTAACCTTATCTGTTCCATTTCTTGCTCTTTCTAAACAAACACTATAAACAGTGAAACTTTCTTATTTCGTTCCCTCTGCCTGTACTCTTATCTCTTCAACGATTGAGACTCTCTTTTTCCTTAGTCTCCATTGATGAGTGGCTCTGTTATGAGTTTTGCTCATGTTAAAGTAAACCCTTCCTGTTTGTCAGAATAGCTGTCTTGATCTTATTTGTTGTTGACATATTCTTTACTGTCACTGAATGATGCATTTCTTTTCAATTTTTATATGTCCTCGAAGTTCTAGTCCTGTTTGTCCTCCACATACACTTTTTCTTTCCAGTTGCTATGGGTAAAAGTTTGAGTGATGGATAGTCTGCAAATCTCTCAATCGGGCACTGGAAGCAGCAAGTCATCTAGCCGCTCCACTTCTCCATGCCCACCACACACTCGAGCTACCCCAAGCAGTCACATAGGTAGCTCGGCTACAGGTCCCTCTTCCAAACACGGGAATGCAATCTCGTAAGTGTTATAGTGTACCAAGTGGCCTGTTGCATCTGTTACGTTTATTTGAATGCTGGTTAAATTATTCTGTTTTTCCACTTTTTTTGTTTTAGTATTACAACTGTATTTCCATCAGCTTTTTAGTCTTTTTATTCCTTTAAATTAAAGAATTAGAAGTCTCTTTATGTATTTGCTTCTGTTACTTTGCTTCCCAAAAGTCAATTACTTAAAATTTATGCATACTACAGGTGCTAGAAATTACAAGATAACAGTAAGGTGGAGATTTCCTCCTTCTGGTATATTGCATTTTCTTGGCACATCTGGGACTGGCTTTGGCTAACTAAACTTTTAGTAAGTCCATGTCTCACTTTTTGTTTCTGTGATAAACCCACTACATTTTTCCCGCACCTTGTTGGTTCCAAGGCACAAAGTGACAGTGGCTGCAGGAATAGCTTCAACAGTCTCTAGAACATGTAGAAATAATTTTTTTTATTGTGCTTGTGTTGACACTTATCATGTTGCTGCACCTTGCTGGGCACTAGGTGACAGTGACAGCGGGCTCTCTGCTCAGGTTACGCTCCTCAGAGGGGACTGGCACTACTGGAACCGCAAGTGGTGCTGCAGTTGGACTTCCCTCATCTGCGACCAGTGGTAACACCATCAGTATTGGAAGTCAATCAGGATCAACTTCCACTATGAGTCGACGCCGTTCACCTGTTCCGGCTCGTAGAGAACCACCTGGTCCCACTACTGCAGACATGGGCACACCCCATCTTCCAAGACCCGACCCTGTGTCAGCACAAGTTTCAGAAGAGGATGTTGTTGCCATGTCTCCATCAATTATTGGAATGCATGTGGAAGAGGAGGTATACTAATACCGCCTTCTTTTTTAATTTATTGTAATTGTTTGCTACTTTAGCATTTAAAAAAAATAAAAAATTACAGGACCCTCAATATCTGGCATCAACATCAATATTATCAAACGGCTCAACTGAAATGATGTCCACTACTGTTGGTGATGAGGCTGATGGGACCAGTGAAGGAACCCGTACTCGCACAGCCATTGAACATATGCAAACCAAAATTGCACGTACTAAAGACCTAATTCGAGTGGAACAAACAGCTAGGGATGGTGAGAATCTTCCTAGGTGCAAATCTAACTTCCATCTATGTTATTGACTACTGTAATTGTGTCTTCATAATTCTGCTTTCAGAGAATGTAAACGAATATCTTAAACTGGCTTCCAATGCTGACAAACAGCAGTTAACAAGGATTAAAGCTGTCTTTGAAAAAAAGAATCAAAAATCAGCCCAGTATATATCCCAACTTCAGAAAAAATTAGATAGTTACCAGAAGAAACTCCGTGACCTAGAAGTAAATGGAGCTAGTTCTGGACACAGGCAGCCAAGAGAGATGCTCCGTGACATGAGTCAAGGGCTAAAGTACGTCTATCATTTTTCAGGTTTATTGTAAATGATAACCTCTACCAGAAAAACAAGATGGAATTGAAAATTTTTTTGTTTTAGGAACGTGGGTGGTAATATACGTGATGGCATCACTGGATTTTCAGGGTAAGAATTTTGTTTTAAATAAGAGTTTTAGTATTTTGCTATCCTTTTACATTCCTAAGTCCAAAAAAGTTTCTGATGCAATAGTGCTTGCAAAAGTTAAAGTATTCATTATCTGATGGGTGCTGGTTCACTTGTTTACATTATTGTGAAATAAGTGTTTGGATATGATAGCATGCACTGGACTGCCAGGGACTGCTTTGGAATTATGCATTTGCTTTTGGTTGTATTGAGCTTATTGCGAATTGCCCCTCTCTGTGACAGTGGTGTGGTTGAGAACATCAAGGGAGGTCTTCATGGTGCTGCAGAGTAAGTTGCTTTTTTTGTTTTTCAATCTCTGATTACCCAGTTTACTAATAATTTGCAGAGCGGCTTAATTTTAATATTATGTGCATTTCATTTTTAAAAAAGATTTTTTTTTTGTGTTGAGTCCATGCTTGCTTTTAGCTAGCTATTAAATTCGGAAGTTGTTGGTCGTATACAAAAGAATTGTTTGTGTCGGACAGGTTTTGCTTACAGTTAAATATACAGTTCTTGTCTAGCATCACTTAAAGTTTGTTTGGTGGTGATTGTGTTTGATTTTACCATGACATGTTTTGTTTTGCCCTAGAACTGTAATGTCAAAACCTCGGGAATTTGCCCATCTTCTCAAAAACCGCTTTGGAAGTGCAGACAACATTAATCAATTATCAAGTAAGTTTTATTTTTAAGTTTCTTTCCTTACCCACAAAAGGTAGAAGACTTTAGTCGTTTATTGTTTAGGAAATGGAGATAACAACAGTGGAGAGGAGGAACGTGTGCACCACGGCAGTGCAACTCTTCCCGGAGGCTGCAGCCTCAACTCTGGTGGTAGTGGCACTGGTGGTGGTGGTGGGAGTGCGAGTGGTACTGGTGTCAAGTTAACATCGGACTCAGAGTGCAGTTCCGTTACCAGTGAGAGCATTCCACATTCTGGGCATCCACACAGTTCAACTCATGCCCCACACCATACAGCACACCTCAATCCATCTAACTGTTCCATTGAGGTCCTCTTGACTGAGTTACGAGAACAAAGAGAAGAATTTGACAGACTGCGTAGGAAATTAGATGATAATAAGGTGAGTTGATAATGCCTTTCATCTGTTGCATCAAATATTTTTGGAAATTTTCGTTGTACCAAATGTTAAAAATTATCTTTTTCAGGATGTATTACAAAGAGAAATAGTTGAATTAAACCACTTACTTCAGGAGGAACGGTTTCGAACAGAAAGGTTGGAAGAACAAGTGAATGATCTCACAGAACTCCATCAAAATGAAGTTGAGAACCTGAAGCAAACTATGACTGACATGGAAGAGAAAGTTCAATACCAAAGTGAGGAGAGGCTCAGAGACATCCATGACATGCTTGAAAGCTGCCAGACAAAGGTACAATGAATCTTTAATTTAAAAATTTCAAAACCATTTGATAACACTCTTACAGAAAATCACCCTGGAAACAAAGGTATTTGTCCCTACTGTTTCCCCTGCCTCATGTGTCAATTTCTTTCCAGATTTCTAAAATGGAACATCAGCAGCTCCAGCATCAACAATATGTAACATTAGAGGGTATTGATAATTCAAATGCGAGAGCATTGGTGGTCAAACTCATCAATGTCGTATTGACAGTCCTTCAGGTTGTTTTATTGATAGTCGCTACAGCAGCAGGCATTATTATGCCATTCCTTCGCACGAGGTCAGTGACCTATTTTATTCAATTTACATGGATTAAAACTCGCCGTTTACCTCATCTCTCCCATCACATCATGTGTCTTGCAATCATACTAATTGGGAATTTGGCTTTTGTTCAGAATGTACATGGCATGTTGTTTATTTCAGGTTGCGAGTGCTAACAACTGTTGTTCTTATCACCAGCGTTGTTGTTATTCTTAAGCAATGGCCTGATGTCCGTGAGATTGGCAGCCATGTTATGCGCTTCCTCAAAGAAACTCTAGCTTTAAAGTAGTAAGTTTATTGCTTTATCCTGTGGATGCATGAGCAGCTTGAAATTGTGATGATTTCCATACTCTACCCTATAACATACTCAAAGCTTTTATCTCCCACAACATGCTTGAAGGCTACTTAACCCACAAGCTGAAGTTGTACAATATTTCCACATTTTTGTTCCCCTTCCTTCCTTCCTTCCTCCTTTCATTTTAATGTGCTCACTACTCTTTCTCCCAACTTAAAGGTTTCACTGCGCGTATAACTTAAATTTATTTTTTCCAGATCTAAATGAAGGAGCAATATTTCTGGCGCACAAGTAAACACTCTGCAAGGACAACAAAAAAAGAAAAATATTAAAAGTGACTTATTGTTACACCTATGAATCCATGTCAATTTACGTTCCTGCTGCAGTTACAGTACAATTTACTTAGATTTAAGGTATTTCTCATTTATGGACCATGATTAGAGAGAATGCTGTGTATCTTGCAAAACATCCATGACAACATTGATCCCAGTTTGTGAAAGGAAGACTGAATGCATTCCTATTTAGTTGTTCAGGTTATACATACTGGTATCACTGTCCAGTACGTTTCTTGAGTGTATTTGTGTCTAGGTACCCTTGTGTATCTTTGTGTGAGTTAAGTTTTTAGATTTGCATTGTCTCCAAGCATTTGTAACTTGTATCATAAATGTTTATGTAATAAGAAAATTAAGATGCATGCTTGAGCTAAAGGCGGGATTTTATGTTTGTTTGTTGTTGTTTTTATATTGTAAATTTAAGAAGGATTTGAGTTTTTCCACTGGAAAGAAACTGTCAAAATAAGAAAGGCTTTACACAGTTATGTTAAGAAGGCAAACTTCTGCATCCAAACCCGATCTTTATCAGTTGATTGCAAAATAAGGTCTGTGATTCAAAAGAACAAATATGGAGCAGGAGCATGCCCATTTTGTATTGTTTTTGTTCTTGTGTGTTTGTGTGTGTGTGAGCCTGTAGATGTGTCTTAATGTGTTTCCATGCTGTCAATCATGATATGGAACGTTTCTTTCTATCCATAAAGAAACTTTGATTTTCTGGTCAGGCTACAGCCTTGTGGTTTTATCCAATTACTGTGTTTCTTTTTAATGATTTTAGGGTATATGTTTTGTGCTGTTCTAAGACATTTTAAAAGTCTCCATCATGAAATACTATTTGCAATAGATGACTCAGAAACTTTGGCATCACAAATCAGTATGATTTTAGTGGTAAACATTTGTGTGAACAGTTCTTTCCAGATTGATTGTTCCTGTTTTGAATTTTCATAGAACTTTTAAGAGAGTGAAGTTATTTTTTCTTTTCCTCAGATATCTAATTTTTATGCCATAGTTTGATGAACTCCAAATCACAAACAACGATTATTCCCCACTTATCTTCAATGTTTTCGCCGAATGCCTATTGTTTGTAGGAGTTAGTATTTCACTGTGCAGTGTTCGTTTACTATTGTGAAAAATAAATCATGTGACATAAGGCACAGCTTATGGGTGGATTGTATTAAGCGCATTTATTTACCAAAAGCGTAACACTAAATACTCCTTACTGAGTTGCAATGGAGTTTTAATTGTACCTTGTTTTAATGCAGTGATCATATTAGATCCAGTAGTGCCTGCCAGCTCTTTCTAACTGAATACCGTAGATTTGAAGGTGGGTGGAAGTCTGTCGGTGTATTATTTTTGGATGTGCTTTAAGTTAAGGAAAGAGACTAAAATTGAACCTGTGCCATACTTTTATAAACACTCTTTGATAGAATGGTTCATGCATATGCTTCTAGGATGTCAACATGTTGACTAATGGGTCCACATGTGTGTAGTCCCCCAATGTTTTGGCACCTTTTGCAGTCAATATGTTAATGCAATTTTAAAACAAAGGAAAAGTTTAAGAAGATAATTAGACAGAATTTTTATGCTCAAATCTTCTTAATTTGTGTCATTTATTAAAAAAAGTTTCCAAGTAGCCACTTTTCTTTGTGTGTGCTATACTTTCTATTTTAAAAATAGCAAGGTTGGTGGTGCTATGTCTTTGTATCTTTTTTCTGAAGTTGTGTTCCACTTATGTGTGTTTTTCCTTTCTAGTAAAATCTTGCTGATGTTTGTTGGGTTGATCCCCTCCAAAAGTGGTATACCAATTATACTTTCAAAGTCACTGCACAGTCACAATGCATTGGAGTATAAGTATTCTACAATGAAACTCATTTGAATCCTGATTTTGAACAGATTTTGTATAGTGTTCTTAATTGTCTATGACTTATGTAAACATGGTCTACATTAACATTTTAATTTAGTGAAATGCACTGAGGTTGTTTATATATAATTTTTTTAAGTTTTTATAAAACTTATTTCAATAGGAATGACTATTCCTACCACATATTTCTTTATCTTAGATTTTTTTTTTACAGAGATGCCAAAGTGTTATTTTTTGTTGTACTGTAATAGCTGTTTCTTTTTATCAATTTTTTTTTCTTTTGAGGTGTTATGACTGTTTCTATGGGGTTGAATACTATGTTACTTTCTTGCTGCAGTATACTCTATGCTGCAGAGTAATACAATTACTGTAATGGAGGGTATCTTGGCACACTTTAATGTGTGTACTGCTCAGCTTCCTTTCAAAGTGGATCAACATTTGTCTTTCTTTTTTATCATCATTACTCAGTATCTGTGTATTGGAATTGCAATAGAGACTTGTATGGGCATTTATTACCCATACTGGATATTGCTAGCTTTGGAATACGTTATTTTGAGATTTGCCGAGACTTCTTAAGGGGTGGGAAAGCAAGGTTCTCATCTAACCTTCTAAATCATCTTGATTCTATTCTTTACTTATCATGTTCTTGCTGAGAAAATATCAACCGTTGTTCTTTTATCTTGGACGAACTCAGTCCGCCCGATATTCTCTTATTCCGAGTTAAAGACGTAAAACCATCTAAACCTTCTGGTCACTGCAAGTTTTGTTTGAACTGTATCAGAGTATACTGGTTGAGTAACTTTTAAACAAAATCAACACTAATGCCCCTCATACATTTTTATATATTACACCCTCACGTATTTTTGAAAATCTCTCTTGTTTTATCCTGTTTGGTTTCTATCAAATTTTACCTGGCAATAATTTCAATAAGAGTTTGTTTTGTTGTTAGACCCTTAAAGACTCGGTTATCTGCCAATCAACTGAAAACGCTATAATTTTGTCACATAAGTTGTGAACATTTCCTACTTCGAAGATAAATCTGTATTTTTTCATCCATACAATGCAGCTGGGCGTTGTTTAAGATGGCCTAAAACCCTTAAGAAGCTAGTTGCTGTTTAGAGGTTGTTTTTTTAATTTCTGTTTTCCCCAAGGCCATCTTCAAAGTCATGTTATTTTTGATACAGTAATTAGGACCATGCTCTCGAAGTAGACGATCAGTACTGTCAGAAAATTTATCTGATTTGTTGTATAATTAAGTGAACATACAAATTGCACTTCACAAGAACAAACATTGCATTATGAATATAGATTTTAGAAGTTTGAATTTAAATATGGAAGGATGATTTTTTTGTTTTAAATCACGTGTATGATGTATATATATATATAGTACATGTAATAGTAAATTGGAATGCCGAATGTGTACTCTTATGGATACAATTTTTATTATATAAAGAAGCTTCATAACTTTGGCAGTGATGCTTTTTGTGTACTATTGATTCAAAAATATCTTTTCAGTTCTGGTATCAAATTTTTTTGTTGTTCTTGCCATTTTAAACCTGACATGACATGTCATGTTACTAGAGAGCGAAAACCCTCAGAATGTGCTGTAAGAAAACACTCGGTTGTTGTCGACGAAGCAGTACGTGAATTTTACTGATAGTTTCTTTCTTCTATGAAGTGTGTATACATTTTTAAAAAAATTATTCAGATAAATGTTAATATCAGAGTAACATTCCACCTTGTTGGACTTCTGTGAGTCAGAGTATGTATATTACTGCTTGCATGGTCTGTGATGGAAGTTTGGTAAAACACCAGTTTGTATAGTAAATTTATCAGAACATCTGTGATATTGGCACAGCGGTGATTGTATTGATGGAATTGGAACCTTTAATTGATTTAGTAAATATTAATGTGATTAGTGTTTTCTGCATGGACAGAAACTTTGTGTGTACGAGTAATGTTGAATGATACAAACTAAAAAATAACAAGCCATAAAATTTGTGACAAATTGTATGATGCAATTGCAAAGAACTGAAAGGGTGGATAAGAATTATCACAATTTGGTTGCCCCCGTTTTACTTTGGTTGTGCTTATCTAATATTTTTGTTTCCCATTTACCACACTTCTAAATGTCGTTGTTTTGTTCATTTTAGTATCCTGATTACAATATCAGTGGTCCCATGTTCTTTGGCATATTGTTAGGACATTGAATTTCAATCAGCTAAATAAATCTTAACATGTTGAGTGCGGCTGGGAATCAGAAGGGAGGAAAACGCGTATAGTGTTACTTTATTATGATCATGCTGCACTTCATTTGTTGAAATCACTTTGAGGCCAAAGTGGGACTTCTACTTGTAAAGACTTTTGAGATCTTTCTAATCTCGATGACGTTTCGGCTCTATTTGGTGTACTCTTCTCATGGCTTGGTATGTTTGTGAAATACTGCTTGACCGAGGTTTCATCTGAAGCCAGTGGTAAATTCTATCCTTGTTGTCCAAAACAAGTTTATTCAGATAAATCAGTTTTTGTTCCTGCGGGTTGTGTTTGTGGAAATGTAAAATATAAAGAAGTTATTATGGGGCAGTAAAATAAAATAAGTTTTTATCCCATTACAGCTGTTGTTTTATTTTTCCCTCAAATATTGAAATTTGAAACAACTGTGATTCTGTGGAGTGAAGGTTGCAGAATCACTCAGTCCCAGACCCATATGGGAGGTAAATGATAGCACGATGGAAGGAGATCTAAAGAGTGTCTATAAACTCTATTGTCTATTCACAGTTGGACTCACTATTTCCAGTCTGCGTGAAACCACCAAGGCTCGCAACAGGAGGTCTCACAATTGTTTATGTCGTAAAGTACTTTGTATAGCTTTGATTGTGTTCAGTGAGTGTTCCATCAACATGCAAGCAAACTTTCGACAGGTAACATTCTCTCACAAATTTCTTGTTCTTTTCTTTACTTTGTTATTCTCATTAGTAATTTCTTAACCTGTGTAAGCCTTGTTGCCTTCTGATCAGCTGTGTTTTGTTTGAATTCAGGTAAAGATGTGCATGACTGACTTCTCTTAAAGACTTTGAGTTTTTACTAATGTACCCTATTCACAGATTCTACATAATTTTCTCAAAAATGAGGGCAAGGCATTTTGTACAACATCTACAGCTCTGTCCAAACCTTTCACTAAAGTTTCTGAAGCGGATGGAGTTCGTGAAATAACTCTTTGTGGCCCAGCAAGGTAGTGAAAATGTTATTGCAGTACAGACCCAGACAAGAAGGAATTGCATCAATTACCCTTTATGCTGAATTCGTTCCAGAAATGCTCTTTCTGTCAATATGATGGAAGAAATAACACACAACATTACGAAGGACCAAGATGATGTAGACTTGCGTGTTATAGTTTTAAAAGCAGAAGGACCTATATTTTCTGCTGGTCACAATTTGAAGGAATTGGTTGGTATAATAATTTCAAATGTTGGTTTAAGATGAATAAATAATTTCAATAATATTGTGTATTATTATCACATGACGCTCCAATTCTACCTTGTCTGCACATGTTTTGTGTATGATTCATTTGGTTTTGCAGAACTCTGATTCTAAAGATGTTCACAGAGCAGTTTTTAAAACTGCCTCAAAAATGATGCTGAGTATTTTGCACTGCCCTGTTCCTGTTGTTGCTTCTGTCCATGGTCTGGCTGCTGCTGCAGGATGTCAACTTGTTGCTGGCTGTGATATAGCAATATGTTCAGAGAATGCATCTTTCTCAACCCCAGGGTTTGTTTTTCAAACTGTAATAACATACCGCTAATTTATTTTTTTAAATGATTTTAAAATACATTTGTTTGCAGTGCACAAGTTGGAATATTTTGCTCTACACCCGGTATTGCACTTGCACGTGCTGTTCCTTCAAAGATTGCTGCTGATATGCTGTTTACTGGTGATACTATTTCAGCACAAAAAGCTCTACAGTATGGACTTGTTAGTCGTGTTGTTCCTGATGCCCTGCTTGGTAAAAGCATGTTTTCGCCACAGTATTCAACTACAAATTCATCCATTTACATCCATTTACATTTGTTTGTAAAATTTTGTCCAGGTGAGGAGTTGTCCAAGGTGACTTCATCTATTTGTGCCAAAAGCAGATCTGTAATAGAACTTGGTAAGAAGTTCTTGTACTCCCAAATTCAACAAGATATCTTCACAGCTTACCGGTTTGTAATTCCCTTTGCTTTGTTTAATTACACTCTATGCTATTGACAACCTTTTCATAATTTTTTTTTGCAGTTTGGGTGAAAATGTTATGATAAGCAACGTATCAATGATTGATGCTCAGGAAGGAATGAACAGTTTTCTGAGCAAAAGAAAACCACAGTGGAAACATACTTCAGAGTAATAAAAACAAAATCTGAAAAAAAAATATTTAAGGACCCAACTGTTAAATGAAAAATAAAATAAAATGAAATTGTTTTGTGTCTGCCTGTTATTGGCGTTGTTACGCGTTCGAATGGGGGGGGGGGCTGGAATATCGAACGGGTGGCCTACCCTCACCGGCTGGAGGCGTTAAAGGTAGGCCACCCATCCACTCTTGAACTTGAGAGGCTGGACCACATGTGACCGTACTCGTCTGTCCCTCTCCCTCAACTAAAGGTGCGCGCAGTAGCCTTCCTGCCGTCCGCCCCCACCCACCCCAGCGTGTCAAATGGGGCCTACCTTGGCGCGGCTCTTCGGGCCAGCTTCCCCCGTCTAAAGAGAAAAGAGTTCCCGCCGCCGCCTCCATGGCCCATCGCTTTGCCACCAGAGCTACGACAACACACCTGTCTGACACGTCCTATCTTAGAGTGATGGTACCGGGTTCGAGAGGTAAACTGAGGAAAAGAATTCACTCACCTGAGAGTCGGATCCACGGTATTCTCTCGCCAGCCGACATCTCTACCATCTCAGCCACTGCGAAGTGATGCAATCAATCTTAGACTGATGGTGTCTGGCTGTAGAAAATGTTGTTGCACTTGAGATTCGAACCAGTCTCTCTCATCGCGGCAGACACCTCTGCTCACTAGAGATAATAAGCCCAAACTTTAGCCTTAACATTTTTTCGACGAAAATGGTCGAGCACCTCTGACTTGTCTGAAATTCCTATGGAACGTTCTATAGGAATTTCAGACAAGTCAGAGGTCTGGCTAAGGCCCGGGCCTTAGAAATAGATATCCGTTGCCCAATGGTCTTTGACGCATTCTATTCGGTGTGAAAATGACATTGCAAGTTGAGCTCTAGAACAATGAAGTAGATGTGGCCGGTGAGTTGCCGCAAAGAAAAATAACTGCTACACCAATTTCCGCATGTGGGAATCGAACCCACGACCCTTCACTTGAAAAAGCGATGGGTTTGACCGCTCTGCAGTTTAGAATTGGTTTCACATAGAAGGCAGAAGTGAGAAAGAAAAGACAGTAGAACCAATTCAGAGTCAAGTCACAGTCATTATTTTGAAAAAAAAAATAAAAATAAAAAAATGAACAAGAGCAGCAGTTGGTCTATGGACATAGTTGATGTCTATGCTGCCAGCTAGCACCGTGCATTTGAGAGCTCCTCCGTGCGTCGTGCGTGCGAGTTGTCGCCGTGTTTTTTATTTCCATAATCCGGGCGATGCTAATTCGCTCCTTTGCTCGCTGTTTCCGCATAATTTTTGGGCCGGAAGGAAAAAGTTTGCGGTGGCTGTACAGTCGCGCACAGCGGGCCTCCGTGGCGGACGTGCGAATCACAGCGGCCTGCCTCGGGGCTGTCCGACAAACGCAGTGGCAATAATGACAGCAAGCTTCTTCGACGCCTGACAGTGATTTCGTCGCTCTGTCTCTCTCGCACTCATGGGGCGTCCCGTGGGGGTCGTGAAAGAGAGACAGCCAGGCGACACTCACCGATGCTCCCGAGGGGCAAAAGTCACTCAAGTTGCAACGGTCGCCACGCCTCGTCACGCCGCGCAAAGTGGGCCAGACGACTGGTGGAGGCGGCCAAAACTCCAGACGCGTTTTGAGCTCCAGCGGGTCGCTAAACAGGACTCGAACCGAACGTGTGACCCCACCAACGGATTGCTCTCCGAACGAGGAATCCGTTGGTGGGGGTCACACGCTCGGTTCGAATCCTGTTTAGCGACTCTTGAGCTCAAAACGCGTCCAGAATTTTGTCCGCCTCCACCGGTTGTCTGGCCCACTGTGCCACGCCACGCCTCGTCATCTCGACGAGCACAACGCGATGGCCGGAAAAGTTGGCGATACCAAGTTTGTTCTGGCCATCTCGTCACAGCGCGCCGGGCCGGGCCCCGTTACATCGCACGGACGTTTCACAAGGCTTGCAATTGTGAGTTTTTTTTTTAATTTCCCAAAAATTTTCTATGAGATTTTTTTGAGAGTGGCAGAACCTGACTACTCTGATTACACTGATAAAATCTGGTTGAAAACTTTTTGGTTATTTCGAGTGCTTCATAAGACCCACAGGCTCAGTGTACTTATCCCCCTGTCTAACTAAATTCCGTTCTTGTTGTTTACCCCTTAAAACGGGCTCTTTTAAGGAAGGCCGCCAGGCCCAACATTACGGGGGAAGCTCTAAACAACAACAACTATACGTGTTCATTAACTAATCCACTTTGAGTGATCCAGGCCGCACTACAAGCGACTCTAATGACCGGTGGGGGGAGGGGAAAGGGGAGCAGTCGGAGTAGGGAGGCAACCCCAATGTGATGTGCCGCCGCAAAGTGGGCCAGAAGACCGGTGGAGGCGGCCAAACCAAAAGGCCAGACGCATTATGAGTTCCAGAGTCGCTATACAGGACTGTAACCGAACGTGTGAACCCACCAATGGATTCCTCGTTTAGAGAGCAATCCATTGGTGAAGGTTCGGTTCGTGTCCCATTCAGCGACTCTGGAGCTCAAAACGCGTCTGGGATTTTGACTGCCTCTGCCGCCGGTGTGAGGTTATAGATCCACCCACCCTGGAAAAAGCACCGGGGGTGACTTTACCACGGGATAAAACCACCCCCCCAGGCTGATTCCCCGGGGGGGGGTTTCAACCCCTGGTGAAGTCACCCCCCTGATCCGTGTAGGGGTGGTTTTATCCCGTGGTAGAACCCCCCCCTAGCTGGCTCAAGGGTGCATTTATCACGGGATGAACCACCGGGGGGGGGTTTTATCCCGTGATTAAAGCACCCCCCTGAAAATGGTGGGTCATTTCATCTCGTGATGAAAAACCCCCCCCTATTTCGCATATTTTACGGGAGAGCGTCCCCGGGCATCTTTACGCTTTTTTCGTCTCCCAAGACTGTACACCCAAAATCGGGGCGCATACTTGAAAGCTTGCAAACGAAAGTGCTTTGGAAAAGTAATATTCACCAGCTTTGTATTGCAAACCCTTCGCGATTTTTTTGTTTCATTCTACACACCAATTACTACTATGAAGGTTTTTCTGCGCGCCGATGCAAGAAATTAAACATGCACTTCGTAACGCACGAATTTGTGCGCGACAATGCACGATTTTCTGCATATTCACGCACGAAATCGTTTCTTGTCGCGCACAAATTCGTGCGTTACGAAGTGCATGTTTAATTTCGTGCATTGGCGCGCAGAAAAAACTACATAGTAATTAATTAGTGTGAGGCTTTCGTTTTATCGTGTGGTGAGAAGTGCTGTTAAAACCCGTCAAATATGCAAATTTGGGGGTGGTTTCATCCCGTGATAAAGTAACTCCCCGTCTTTGGGGGGTGGTTTTATCCCGTGATAGATGCACCCCCCTGAGCCAGCTAGGGGGGTGGTTCTACCACGGGATAGAACCACTCCCCAGGACCAGCAGGGGGGTGACTTTACCTCGGTATAAAACCACCCCTTCTCAGGAGTCAGCCAAGGGCGGTGGTTTTATCCCGCGGTAAGGTCACCCCCGGTTCTTTTACCAGGGGGGTGGATCTATTGCCGTACACCGGTCCTCTGGCCCACTGCGCGTCGTGCCTGATGGTGCCTCAGTTGCGACTCCGCCGTTTTGCATATGTTCGTGCCTTGCAATTGGATTGGATTAGTTGACGCTTAGCTAAGGATCGGCTTCAGTCTCTCCTCTCAACAATCCAGCACGGTGGTTTTGGAACCATGGGGTCGCGTCCCCACCCGGGGTCGTGGATGTCAGCTAGGGTCACTTGCGCAGAAAAAAAAATCGTAAACATGTCCTTTAACGAGGAAAACAGTTAAAAATAGAAACCGTAAGTTTTGCGGCAAGAAAGTGGTGCTTCCCGGTGTTTTTTCGAGCAGTTTTCGCAGTGTAACGTCGTGTGGGGCTCCACGCAGTGCCAGCCCGCCATTTCTAGTCCCGGCCCTGGAGCGGCCTGGAGTGCACAGGGGGCCAGAAGACTGGTGGAGGCGGCCAAAACTCTAGACGCGTTTTGAGCTCCATAGTCGCTAAATGGGACTTGAACCGGACTATGACCCCACCAACGGATTCCTCGTCCGGGGAGCAATCCATTGGTGGGGTCACACGTTCGGTTCGAGTCCCATTTAGCGACTCTGGAGCTCAAAACGTGTCTAGAGTTTTGGCCGCCTCCACCGGTCTTCTGGCCCACTGTGCGCTGGGGCGGGCTGGAGTTCTCGCCGCGGAGTCGGGCAAAAGTTAAACTACCATCCGACCAGAAGTGTCTAGCCTGAATGGAAGGGGCGTGCCCGAGACTGATTCCGCACAGCGCCTCCTCGCTCCGTCTCTCTCGCACCTGCCGGCACCGCCCCGCGAGTGCGAGAGAGACAGAACGACGTGTGGAATCGCACAGGCCGGGCTCTCCTAGAGATGAATGGGTGTACCTATAACGGGACTGATTTCGGGAAGTCCTCGGCCCGCCTGCCTTTCGGAGAGAGAGAGAGAGAGAGAGAGAGAGAGAGAGAGAGAGAGAGAGAGAGAGACGAAAGGAACTTTGGGAAGCGATTGCGTGAGTGAGTGCGCGGCGGTGCGGTGCGCGGAGGGTGCAACTGTCGCCGCCACCACCTCGCGCCGATTCACAGCTCGTCACATTTTTGAGAGAGACACATACAGAGAGAGAGAGAGAGAGAGAGAGAGAGAGAGAGGCCACCACGCAGTGCACCGCGGGGCAACAGGCGACATTTAGACCAAGTTGTTGTCGGACACGTATCGGAGCACTAATCACCGCAAAGGCCTCTAAACTGCACAAACAACACGACCTACCCAGAGGAGAAACAAGAGGGAGAAGAAGGAGGGGAAGGAACGACTCGACAGACGTAAACACCTTCAATGCGAACCCTGGGCCTAAGGGCCACCGAGCGCCACTGCCGCCAGGTCCGAAGGGTCCACGCGTCCGTGAGGTCCCGGCGGAGGGGGCCGAAATTCTAGACGCGTTTTGAGCTCCAGAGTCGCTAAACAGGACTAGAAGACTCGAACCGAACGTGTGACCCCACCAAAGGATTCCTCGTTCGGAGGG